TCCCCCCTCCAAGTGTAATAGGCTGTGCCACAGTATTGTTCAGCAGCCACTATAGCACATTGAATGGAAAAGTTTGTTCTTGCTCATTCCATTAACGAAGTAGGGGTGGACGGAACATACTGCTCCAAAACAAAAGGACTCCCTTTCCCCTCGTAAAATAAGCACAGTGATCTAGAATTTGTCCATCACTGTTAAGTCGCAAAGGTGTGGTTTTTTACTGTTTGATTGTCGTCAATTTTTTACCACTGTCTTCGTAATGGCTCATTTAGTGACAGGCTTTTTAGGGTTTTTTTGCCGTCGTAGTTAATCATTTCTAACCCTATGGAGCCACTGTGTCTAGCCCCGGTCTCCCTCCTGGTCATTACTCTAATGAGCTCGCATCAATCTAACGACATGTTCTTCATTCAATTAGAATATTTTCCTCTCCTGCCTTTCAAGGAAAAAAAATTTTATTATTTTTTTTTGCTGCCATGGTCAATATTTTACAAGGCGTAGGCTGATCCACGAGGAATGCTTTCAAGACAAATTCTCGGTCTCTTTGGAGAAAAAAACATTTTTTTGGGTAGAGGTGCATTGGAGATGTATGTGCTCACTGTGAAATGGAACATGTCAATGAAACATAAGAATGTTTAATATAGTATTATTTTTTAAAAACTAATTGCACTGCCTAGTTAAAAAAAACAACTTGTGTGTAACATTATTTGTTGGCATTGGCTGATCTTTCCCATAGAGAACATAAGAGTGTAACTTGATTCGAATCCTGTTTATTTTTTGGTTGTGGTTTTTGTAGTTTGAGAATTTGTATTTTTTTAATATCGTATCATCCTCTGTAATATAGTGTCGGGTTATAGACCCCCGCCAGTTGCACTTCACCAGTTCAGGAAGTAATTCATTCATTACGTCATCCTCATTAAAAAAAAAAGGGCACTGAACTTTTGCGTCATCGCTGCAGTTGGCCACTTGACCGCGTTTGATTGACACCACTAGTGTCGGGGAATCTCCGGGATTATTGTTCTATATCTCGAAAGTGCAACAGATACCTACCCAAACCACATCACTGCGTGGATGACAAGGGCAAGAAAAAGTGCATCTCTCAGGTCGTCTGAACTTTTCAGGGACATACACCTGGTTTTGTACTTTTTAACGGCGGTCATTTGGAAACGAAATTAGCCATGCTGAAATATGAAAGAAAAAAATAGATCATCCTGTCTTTGAGAATTTTTTTTGGTTATTGTTCGTGGCTCACTTTTTTTTCCCTGCGAACTAGTGGGGCGTGTCCGTCGTTCCCATGATTAGTGTGGTTGCACTAGTTGTCGGATGGAGTATGCATTACGCGTAGATTATGATGTTGGGCCTTTTGTCATGAGTGCCAATTCCGAAACGAGAAAAAGGGCTGCGCGTTCGCACAAATGTCAAGCTTATCAGACAGTTTATACCAGGACCCAGTCGATGAAAAAAAAAAAATTGGCGGGAGTTTCTTGTTTTCTGTTTTTTTGTTGTTGCTTCCTGTTTCGGTCTGATGAATGAAAATGGGAGTTGACGTCGATTCAAAGCTTGTGGTTATGAGCACGAGAGACGCGCTGCCAGCAATTGTGTTGATATTACAAAGAGCCATGTAACATGCTCCATGCTTGTTTTTTTTATCTCCAGTATGTTTGTAAATTGAAAAAAAAATTACACATTTGTGTACCTGTTCATGGCCTTCATCAAAGTGCATGCCAATTTATGAAATAACCTGTACAGCAAAGCGAAGCAATAAAAGTAATGCTGGCCATATTTAACCATTTTGAGTGCATAAGTGGACCTTTTTAAAGGCCACCATGCGTGAAATGGATAAATTTTAATGAACAGAAGGCTAGGCAACCTGTTTTATTCTGAACAATTCATTAGAATTGTGCCCTTTTCTAGTTATTGGTCGTCTTCTGTTGTCACGCGAACCAGTGCACTTCAAAAATAGCTGCTCACAACTTATGGATACTCCTCTAATAATCTACAACTATTGACTGCTGATAATGCTAATAATATACAAATATTGACTGCCGATAATGCTAACAATATACAGATATTGACTGCTTATAATACTAATAATATACAAATATTGACTGTTTTTGAGTGGTAAAGTAAAACTAGCCTCATGTGATCTGTGGAGCATTCTGTTTCTTGACCGAAAATAGGACACTGCATGGGATCACCGAGGGAGGCTAGTTTCGCTTTCCTATAGCATCAGTATTTGTCTTTCTAGCAATAAACCCAAAGACACTACATATATTTTGAAATGAATAATTAATAGAAAATCCATTTGCATATTCTGTAACCAGTGGACCCTGTAATGGTCTCGTCAATAAAAAAAAAATGAAAAATGCAAAAAACCCATGTGCATAATTGCATCAGCCTCTTTGGGAATATATTAAAGTAGTCAAATTAGCAAACGTCATGTGACACTCTCCTAGCTCCTCAAGGGACACACTTAATCAGAGAGGTTTTGAGATAACAAGTGTACCTTTTTATTGGATGTTGTGACCATGTGATGCTAGCTTTTTTTAAACTGTTCTCTTTAATTGTATGAACTGCATGTGCATCTCTTGAAATATGAGTGCTTTAAAGCTATAGTCCATCATTTGCAGCCATCCGAAAAGTAACTGGCGTATTATTGTTAAAAAACATACTTGGTTGAAAGATAGTAAGGGGACTATATAAACTCCCTGTGAAATTATTCTTTCTGGCAAGCTGTCATTTTGAAGTAATCAACGAAAGAAGGCCTTTCCAACGGTGCGTCTTAAGACGCACCGTAGGAAAATTTAAATTAGTAGTTCGTTTTGTTATTTGGCGCAGTGCGCGCAAGCATTGGCACGACGCACACGTGTGCGCGCCGCCGCGCGGTTGCTATAATTCGTCGGATCAGTGCGCGACATCGCGTATAACTACAATTCAAAACAATTCAAAACATGATTCAGCAACTTTTGATTTGAAATTGAGATCCTAAAATGCTGTTTTTTTTCGGAATATACAGCTGAAGCTTAGCTGAAACTTCATCAAGTTAGTTGTTCAGCATCCTTCATTAGATTTTGAACACTTTTGTTGCTTCAAACGAACAAAATGCACAAATTACAAATGATGGACTACATCTTTAAAAGTGTTGACATAAACTGTTTAACCCTACTGATAGATGTCACAAACTGTCAACAAATCTATCAATACTCCTCTCTCATAGTATACGTACAAGCTGGTCACCAACTGCCAGAACCCCCGGGGAGTTAACCCTCCTACTGTTTAAACAGTCACAGACAGTAAAAAAAAACTCCATCCACTTCCCCTGCCATGCCTTTTACACGGGCTAGTCACAAACAGTCAGATGATATTATGGGCAAGCACTCTGACTAGTCAAATTCAGTCAACAGACAAAAAGCAGGAAATTGGTCGCATAGCTGTCTTATCTATCACCTACAGTCATAGCACAGCTGTATCAGGTTAAATAAACAGTCGCAGCCAGTCAATGGTATCTCTCTCCATTTTGTCACTGAGAGAGGGAGGGTTTTAATCTGGGCAAAATTACATACAAAACATACTTTCGACCCTCCTATGCAAACGTTCATTCGGTGCCAAGTGGTCCTTTCAGTCAAAATCAGTCAAGTGACTGTTTTCAACAGTTAAGAGCCCCCAGCGTACATAAAGCAGGATTGACTGGCTGTAACTCTTAAATACCGGTATAACTTGATACAGCTAAGCTTTAACTTTAGGTGATTGATGAGCAAGCTGTGCCTACCACTTGCCTTCTTTTGTCTGTTGACTGAATTTGACTAGTCACAGTGCTTGCTTGAAATATGATCTGACTGTTGGTGACTAGCCTGTGTAAAAGCCTGTGTAGATAGCAGGAGAGTTAATGAGTAGGTTTCCTGTCAGTTACTGGTCATGATCAGTTGCCTCATGGTATGACATCACAGGTGACATGCTCAGTATTTTTTTTTTTAAATTGCTACTACCAGAATTCGTTCTCCAAATGTTTCATAATCGTAACTGTTCGTATTGTTAATTTTCACACTCATTTCGGAAAGCAATACTTCACAGATTGTCGCTGTTTTTTCTCTTGTTATTTTATAACAGTTTCAAAAAACTGTAGGAGTTTTTATGCACATTAAAATTCTTTGATGAAATCATTTCCAAAACTAACACTACTCTATACATAGTATTAGTAGCTTTTATTTGCTTTACCGGTACCTCTGGTTTGTGTCTCTTAGCCACCTCACAAATTTATTCCGTTTTTCTTCTAATTCCTGGATTAACAATGCCATAAAATGTTAGCAGCACTTTTAGTATTTTATGCAACAAGTATTCTGAACTAGTAATTACTTACCTAATCCTGCATTATTAATTGCAATTAATATTGTTAAATTTTTTTATCAAAACTAGTAATATCAGCCTGCTGCACTGACTGTATCCTTCGAGCGTGTTGTTGGGCCATCTAGTATACAGTGTATGGGCTCCTTGCGCAAACAAGAGAGGGCGTTTTTTTTCACCACTTTCACGCCATCTTGCCTGACTGCAATATTTTGCCGCGAAGCGTGGCGGCCACTGCGTGTACATAGTACAAATCCCCTGGTGTACGTGCGTCACACACAAGGAACGGTGGGCGTGCGTCAACCAACGAAATGTACATGTGTCCCGCCCATGGGACCTCGTTGCTAGGTAAAAGGACGCCCTCTTTTGTTGGCACACGGAGCCCATAAGAAGAAAGCAAAAAACGTATGCAATTTTCAACAACCTGTCAATTGACTGATATTTTGAATTAGAGAGTTCTATAGAGGAATCGATGTTCATGTTCAAAAGGATGTTTTTCACTGTTTTCTCGAAAAAAAATCTAATATCCATTGAGCTAAAACTTCAAGAAGTTAAGTTTTGAACATTCTTCATTGAATTTTGAGTGGTGATATTATTGGAAACCTACAAACGGCATGTAATGTAAATGATGCCTTTGAATTTACACGTGAACCTAGTCAGTATCTCTTTGTGTTCATTTAATGATAACATCTTTCGTTGTTGTTTGCATCTTAGATGCGGAAGGCATCCCCGTTGCTAGGTTGGAGGAGATTGCGGAGAGAGCATCCGACTTGGCCTACGACAAGCAGGACAAGGGACCCTACCAGAGTTTCAGGTACAGCCAGTGATGAAGTCGAGTCCATCGCAAGTCCATCTGAAGCCTGTCACAAGTCCATCACAAGCTTATCACAAGCACAGTCACAAATAAATCACAAGTCCTTTCACAATCCCAGTCACAAGTAACAGAGGATGAACAGTGAAAAGGAAATGCCTTTGTCTCAGTTCATTTGAAAAGCTTGTGACTTAATTGTAACATAGGACTTGTGAAGGCTTGTGATGTACTTGTGAAGGCTTGTGATTTACTTGTGATGGACTTGTGAAGGCTTGCGATGGACTGGACTACATCACTTTGTAAAGCCTCAACACAGTATTCATTCATGCTTTCAATCATAACTAATATTCTCTCATCTCTAGTTTCCAAGGTTGCAACTTTGTGCAAAAGCACCTTGTCAAATGACCCCTTATGCCTGAGAAGACCTATTTTTGTTGGGACGACAACATTATTCACAAGGTGTAAGAAGATGGATCCGAACCTGGGTCGTATATAAAGCAACCCAAAATATAAGCATATTTTCAGAGGATGGGAAGCGTCCAAAATAGACCCCAGAAATGTATGTTTAACCCTCCTATGATATTATACATTCTGTGCAAAGTTGTCCTTGCAGCCAAAATCAGTCAAGTGACTGTTTTTAACAGTTAAAGAGCTCCCAGTCTACAATGCACTGAAAAGCAGGATTGACTGACTGTGACTGTTAATGCATGGAGGAGAATTACCTCCATGGTTTATGTAACTTGACACAGCTATGCTTTGGCGTGATTGATAGGCCAGCTGTACCTACCACTTGTCTGCTTTTGTCTGTTGACTGAATTTGACTAGTCACAGTGCTTGCCTGAAATATGGCATGGCAGGGAAGAGAGGATTGATTTTTTTACTGTTCGGACAGCAGGAGGGTTAAATATGCATTTTTTGTCTGTTGACTGAATTTGACTAGTCACAGTGCTTGCTTGAAATATGGCATGGCAGGGAAGAGAGGATTGATTTTTCGACTGCCTGTGACTGTTCAGACAGCAGGAGGGTTAAATATGCATTTTTTTGTCTGTTGACTGAATTTGACTAGTCACAGTGCTTGCTTGAAATATTGCATGGCAGGGGAGAGACGATTGATTTTTTTGACTGTCTGTGACTGTTCAGACAGCAGGAGGGTTTAATGTGCATTTGTTTTCTGTTGACTGAATTTGACTAGTCACCGTGCTTGCTTGAAGTATGATCTGACTGTTGGTGACTAGCCTGTGTAAAAGGCATGGCAGAGAAAGAGGAAGAATTTTTGGCTGTCTGTGACTGTTCAGACAGCAGGAGAGTTTTATAGAACGACCCCTATTAGGAAATATAGAACAACTTGACCATCCTGCCTTAGTTCTGGAAACATTTTTCTTTTGATGTGTGACTTCCAGGGAGTCGTTAGTGAAGGCCATGGTCATCATGAGCAAGATCAGCCAAGCTGTACAGGAAGGGGAGTATGACTCCAACGTCCCCATGGATAAGGTATGTAAGGGTCGGCTGGGGGCCTCTGGGTAGGCTGGTCAAAGAACAAGGGATTCCATCTCATCTGACAACCAATATAAATAGTCAAAACGACATTCGCTTTCTAGAGATGATGAGGACACCTGAATTCAGTTTGATATTGGACTGATGTGGCACAGTGAACATTAATGCTGACCAAAGTGGGGAAAAGTAGAATCAAGAAAAGAACAGAAAACCTCTTAAAATGAGTGTTTTTACCCATCCTGGAAGCTCAAAACGAGATGTCTACTTCACTTATGAAGAAAAAAACAGAGTAATAAAAGTAATAATAATAATATGAATTATTTAAACAACGCTTTCCATGTCACAAAGACATTTAACAAAGTGCTGTACAATTAAAAATCCACAGGTTGTTAAGAAATTCAGATAAAAACAGTCATAAACAAACAGAATTAAAACTTAATTAAGCGACACAAGAGTTATGCTTAAAAAGATGGGTCTTCAAGTAGGTTTAAATTTCAAAGGTATCAGCAGATCGGATTGCTGCCGGTAGCCTATTCAACAGACAGGGGGCACTGTGAACGATCCATCGCCATAGTATGTAGTTTACCCTTGTGTTACTTATGCATAGGGAAAATTAATGCTGGCCAAAGTGGGAAAATTTCTAAAAAGGGGCTAAAAAAAGGAGCTAAAACCCTTATTTTTGGCATCTAGTAATGAAATTTGACCAAATTATTATTTTTTATGTCTACATGTTCAGCACATGCAGCATGCCAAAAATCTGAGACACTGCAAAATTTGAGGTCACCAAAAAATTATCCTGTAACGCCTACCCCTATTTTCACAGAAACAAATACTGATCGTTTTCATCAAAGATATGCATTATTGATAAAGCAGCATTGTGGCAGGTTGTTTTGAACAGTGATGATGCTCGGATTGGGTGTGAAGACCCAATTCCGTGGCGCTGCTAAGCACACAATTTTCTGCTAACAGAGCCTCCGTCTATTCACGAAGACCATAAGCAGTAAGCATAGCAAAAAGCACGCTTACCTCAGAGGAAAAAGTTGCTTAAATCTGTGACGAAACAATCAAAATCTCAATGTGTGCTCAACCATTAGCACATGAAATCGTGCTTAAGTAGCGAACATTTCTGCTATGGTTAGCACATCTTTTCTGCTTACTGTTAAGCAGCGCTATGCAATTCGGCCCAGGACATGAATCCAGCGTTAAAGCTTGTTTTAAAATTGCATATTGATGCCATACATGTGTGTCCCAGAGTCTACAAGAATCCCGATGACCTGACGCAAAACATGATGTAAAGGGCGCCACAATCCACTAAGATCTTCTCTCCTATAAAAACATGTCTTCAATCTGCAAATGTGAGGAGCCCTGGTGCCACTGACCTCACGTTTCTCCCCCCCGTGTGTGATGACACCGCGTGCATCAACCCCCATGCCCCAGTCACGGCCTACTTACCAGCACTGGCCTGCAGCTTTTCACTTGAATAATTCACGAGGCCTGATATCAATTATAGGGATTTTCTGTCTCTTTTCGCTTTACTTTGATACCTTTCGAGTCGGCGCTGGCATTACTAAGTAAGCCGCAGATCTTAAGCCCACGCTCTCCATCTCTCCCAGTTGTTTTTGATTTACCGAGTCGTCAAACCCAGACAGGTGCAGTTGTGTTCATCTTCGGCTCTTCAAAGGCATATTGCCTGAATTTGTAATGCAAAAATCTGGCCCAGATCTGTCCCTCGAAAAATACGGATTTTTTTCGTAAATTTTGTTGTTGTTGTTGTTGTTGAATTGTACTTTAATGTTTCACGATTGTTATTGTGGGAGAAACTGATTCTTGTAGATTTGGTAACGGGGGGGGGGGGGGGGGGAAATCAAATTTTTTTTAATTAAATTTTTTTTAATTGAATTTTTTTTTTTTACTCTGTTTTGTGTAACTCTTACTTGACTATCATCTGTGAATGACATGATTTGATTGAACTTTGCTATCGGACCAAATCACGAAAAGATGAATATGCACGTGCTGCATGGGACACGTGTCACTTACTCGAACAACGCAGATGTTACCAATGATTTCTAGGCTATGCACAAAAAGGTCACACATGTTGGCAATGTTGTGCATTAATTTTTTTAAAGGTCTGTGATGCTTGTCACAGGTGATGAAAATCTGATTTCAAGGAGTTGGTAAGCATAGAGTTTTGCTTACCACACTCAAAACAACTCCCCTCCCCCCACCCACCCTCTTGGTGGATTTTGTACTAGGTTGGCTACTGTTTGTTTTTGTCCGTAAATAATATATATGTTTTGATTTTGTTGTTGTTGTTGTTGGCAGATTCAGCCTCCAATAGCTCGGCGTGCTGCCAAGGTCAAGTCTGAGATCTGTGACTCGGAGGGCCTGGGCCACAAACTGGAGCTGAAAGACAGCGAACTCAAAGACCTGAAACGACAGCTCAAACTCAAGGTGAGTATCACCTGACACCGTTTATGTCAAATTAATACTTAACAAAAATGGCTGCAACAGTCAAAGTCTTTCATGTAGTCAATTCTAACATAAGTTTAATCTTGAGGACAATTCAGTTCGGTTGGACTTTGTAATGACATTGTGAAACAGGTTTTATATGCTGTACCTAAACAAAATCAGGAATTTGTAATAGTTTTTAAAATTTTTAAAGCAATTTCTGGACATTGTTTTCCCAAAAAAATCCAAAATAAAATAATGAAAAGATTTTTACTGGTCTGCCATTCACATGTAAAACAATATTGTATAGGTACTAAATGGTTAAGAAATCTCTATAAAGAAAACCACCATACCATACATTTGGACATGACAAACATACTCTTTGGCTTCAGAAGTTTTTGTATAACTATGAAAGTGAATCAAAAAGAAAGTGACCTGGATTAATGATTTTTTTTTTCTTAAAAAGAAATCAAATTTGATAAAGTAATGAAGTACCGGTATGTCTTAAAAGAGCATGTTCTTCCACTCATGTGAAAATAAGAATTACTGAAATTGATCAATACTATCAGAAGTTATGCACATTTTACTAAAAGAATCTATTTTTACAGCTGTCCATGGAATGCCATTGGAAGCTATTGAGCTGAATGAGAAATACAGATTACACACAGGCATTAAAATACAAATGTGATTTTAATAATTTGAGTCAAGACTGGAACATTATTTTCACTGACAAATTTTTGTTTTGAATACGAGGAACAAAGTCAACTTTTTTTTCCCCTGAAATACCGGTATTGTTTGCGATTTTTATCTGTATTCCTTTTACAATTTTCGTTCATTCATGGATTTGGGAAATTGCCAGAGGACAGAATGTTGCATTGTATTTAATGGGTATTCATCAGTTCTTAGAACAGTAAACGATCAGTGGTGGACAGCTGAATTTTGTGATTTTTTATTAAAATAGACGTAACTTGGGAATAGAGTGTGGAAATGACGTGAAATGTTCACAGTTACTAGTCAGTAACATGTACTTTATCACAATGTTATTTTTATGAAATGGAGCGAGCCACATATTTAAAAACAAATATTTTTCAAATTCGGTCACTTTCTTTTCGACTCACCCTGTACAGATTTTTTGTTCCCGATAATCACTATAAAAATTTGTTTGTGGGGCCCATTGTGGTCTTATAGCGAAGCTGTAGTAGTTGCCAAACTAATGAAACAAAAAAAAGGGGATCTGTGGGTCTAAATATTAAATATGTTTCCCTCTTCATCAGCAAGAGGAGGTGAGTGCCAACGCAGTCCGTCTGGGCCTGGTGGAGAAGAAACTGGAGAACGCCAGCCGAGACGGGGACGACAAAGTCCGCAAAGTGGAGAGGGAACTCGCCCAGCAACAGGAGGCGCTCAAGAAGAAAGAGAGGTCAGACAAAAATTAGCCGATACTTGTATCCTGTGACCTGCTGATCCAAAACTATTGCTTAGCCAGTTTCTGTGCTGAGCTAAAAATCAGACGAGAGCCAGTCAAGAGCAATATACATTACATGATGTTTTTAACCGGTATGCTGTTTCTGCTGAGCAAAAAGAAAAAAAATTGCCGATACTTGTATCCTGTGACTTGCTAATCCAGAACTATTGCTTAGCCAATTTATTTGCTGAGCTAAAACAAAATGACGAGAACCAGTCAAGAGCAATATACATTGTATGATGTTTTAACCGGTATGCTGTTTCTGCTGAGCAATTATGTGAGGTATTCTGGCAAAATGAGATGGAACTGGGCAGAGGTTGTAGTGGAGAAAAATACAAAACAAGTCTTTTTTTTTTGATTTTCAGATCTACTGATATTTGTAATCTTTGATATGTCTACTACACATGATGTAAAGAAATTGTCTCAAAATCGTGGAATAAAGGTTTTTAAGGAAACACATTAACCGTTTTTCATTCTCAAGACTACAAAACAGTTTAAAGGGAAGATACATCATTTGCAAACATCACAAAACGAAATGATCGAATTATCCCGAAATACCTTACTGGATTGTTAGGGAATGACAGTCTAAAACATTCTGTAAAATCGTGGCTCCTGGTGTGCTGTCATTTTCAAGAAAAATGGGATTTTTCCAACGCTGGTCGGCCGACCAGCGTTGGAGAAAACTGGCTTTTTTCAAAAAGTGCTCCTAATTTTTCATAATTAGTTATTCCGCGTTTTATTTGCAATTGATTACACACCTGTGAAGGGGTTCAAGCCTGCTAGACTGATTTTCTGACCTTACAATTCCGCAAGGTTTATAAATTGCTCTGTTTCATCTTAAGTGGGGTCAGGGAACCAGACTACAAGAACTTGATTGGTTTTCTTGGTTTTTCCAGCATCTACAAGCCCAAATCGTGAAACAAGTCATTTTAACAATATTTGCTATAACATACTAATCCTCCAAATCCAATATTTCTGAAAATTGCAGCAAAAGCAAATGTTGTACATTCCCTTTATTTTAAAAGTTTAAAGGCCTTTTCTTAGTTATTTTTTTGACGTTTCGATAAATGCGAACTTTAAACAGCCATAACTTGTCAACGAAATGTCTGATTGAAGTGCAACACACAGTATTTTAAGGAGAATTTTATTCTCTTTCATAATACCCACAAACAGTCGTTTCGACCTCTGTCCAGTTCTTTCTTATTTTGCCAGAACGCCTCACATAATTATATGATCCAGTAGTTAAAGATAGAGTTTATCATTTGCAGCTATCCAAAAAGTAACTGACTAAATTATTTTTAAAAAGCATGCGTGGTTTAAAGACAGTAATGGCACTAAACTCCCTGTGAAATTATTCCTTCTGGCATGCTGTCATTTTGAAGATTGCAATAAAAGAACGTCATTCCCAAAGATGAAGATGCGTCTAAAGATGCATTTTTGGAAACTTCCATTAAGCCAAAAAAAAACAGTCTCCGGTTTCTGGTATGGAGCTTGCCCAAAAAGTGGTGCGTCGACGCGGCTTTTTTTTTTTTTTTTTCCTGATTTTTTGGCTTCAAATGTCGGCTGATGACTGCAAATGGTGCCCGACTAAACTTAGTGCAAATATATTGTAGTCCAGAGAGGCCACATAAAGCTTATTCTCGACCATAACCCAATCTAAAAACACGTTAAAATTGTGCAGCAGCAGGATTCCAGTCAAACCAGTGAGTTTGGCGGTTTTGAGACATCATCTTTCATTGAAAAAAAAACTTTTTCATTTTGCCGACGCGCATGGCTACGGCAACGCGCGCGCATACCAGAAACCGAAGACTTTTTTTTTTTGGCCTTAGTAGTTCGTGTATAATTTTGGCGAATCCGTAAAGGTGCGCACAAGCATTGACAGGACGCACGTGTACGCGTACATGGTTGCTATAATTCATCGGTTCAATGCGTGACATAGCGTAGCTGCAATTGGCTGTATGCGAACGTGTCCCGGACGCTGATTTTGGGCGCAATTCAAAACACGACTCGGCAGCTTTTGAATTGAAATCGAGATCCTAGAATATTGTTTTCTCGAAATAAACACCATTCACTGAGCTAAAACTTCATCCATCAGGTTAGTGGTTAAGCATCAGTCTTTTGTCTTTGAGCATTTTTGTTGCTTCAAATGAAAGAAAAAGCACAAGTTACAAATGATATACTCTACCTTTTAGCAATGGCTCTTCAAATTAGGTTTTTGCCCTTCACCGACGTTTAAACACTGTATACTCAGTGTGTTACCTGAAAGTTGGAAAAAATCACTCGGGTGGGACTCGAACCCACGACCTCCTGCTTTCTAGTGCAGATCATGTCTTACCACTCGACCACCGAGCTAACGGGATCGGTTGGCTGGTTTGAATCTGATGTACATAGCAGCGGGTACGCATAAACTATTATAAGATGGAATTTTTTCCAACTTTCACTCGGGAGGTAACACACTGAGTATACAGTGTTAAAACGTTGGTGAAGGGCAAAAACCTAATTTGATTTACATTATCCCGATGCAAAATTCCATCTTATAATAGCAGTGGCTCTTGATGGGAGTTTCTCTGTGTATTGAATCATTTGTGTTGACTGTCATTGCAGGGAATTTGAAGACACCCTGGATCACATGCAGTCGGACATCGATGCCCTGGAACGGGAAAAACAGGAACTGAAGCAACGACTGACCCAGGTCTCCAAGAAAGCGCTGTTTGAGAGCCTGACCAGCAAAACAGCGCCCTCGGGCATCGCAGCAGTGGTGGCAGGAGCGGCCGGAGGCAATCAGGGTAGGTGGTGCTGATGCTTTCTATGAATGCACTTAACGTTTTCTGCGTTGTAGGCCTGTTGGCTTTGTGCATGAAGCGTAGATGGCGTTTAGTGATTACTAATCACCCACTATGAGCCAGGAATGTCTGAAACGCTTTTAGTCCGGACAAAATGTCTGAAAAGTGAACAATGGCACACATTGCAGACATTTGGTCACTGTTTCAGACATTTTGTTTTAATCCTTTCTTACTTTTGAGATACTTTGAATGTTTGAAACGTAACCCTATCAAGGAAATGGCAAGTCAGTCGCCTGGAAATGTCTGAACTTGACACGGCCATTTTCTTGATAGGCTTATGTTTCAGATGTTTCGAGGTGAACAGAATGTCTGAAGCTTATGTTTCAGACCATCGAAATGTCTGAAACGCAGGTAGGGGATTTGTCTGAAACGGTGACCAAATGTCTGACATGTGATCGCCATTGCTCATGTGTCAGACATTTGTCCCGAACAAACGCATTTCAGGTTCATAGTTAGAGCTCTGTGTGTTAGATACACCGAGAATGGTTCCAAGAGACCCGCCTGACTCTCTCTTTCCTGTTGGTCGAGTGGTAAGACATCTGCACTAGAAAACAGGAGGTCGTGGGTTCGAGTCCCACCCGAGTGATTTTCTTCCAACTTTCACTCAGGAGGTAATACACTGTTTTATAACGTTTTATAGGTTTATAACGTCGGTGAAGGGCAAAAGCTAATTTTTGTTACCTAACTTAATGAATTGTTGCATGAGTGGAAACAGTTTTCACCACAAATCCAGTGGTAGTGCTGGTGGGGGATCCTCCCTAGTTTTTCCCTTGCCCCCCCCCCCCCCCCCCCCCCCCATCCCCAGATTGTCCCCCAGTTTTCTCCCAACTCTTTATCAACAAATAGATTAATTTATGTTTGTTTTCTTCGCTGTTAAGATTCACAATATGTGGACACATTTTGGGCCAATGAAAGCATTATACACATTGGTACTTTGGTAGACAAAACACGCCACACATGCATTTACACAGCCGTAGATAGTGTGCAGCCAACGTCTTTGTACCTTTGTTATACATTTGTTACACACCATTCTGCGCTTTGATACATTTCTCATTCATAAAAACGACTACACTCTTCCGAGTTGCTCTAGTGGCTTATTTCCGGCCCATTGACAATGGTCACACGCGCCATTTAATAATGTTAAGACCTGTTAATAAACAAGTGGCTACAAGAGAAAATATATAATAAATTCCACTCAAGTGAAAGTTGCTCTCCCTGTGCTATGTTTGAGTTTCATCCCCAAAAATAGATTTTTCTAGCAATGCAAAGGTGTATTACTTGTGAATGAGACATCGAGAGAAAAAAAATCTGCGTACGTTTAGTTTAGGGCTGACAATAATTCAGGCATATTGTTTTGTGTGTTATGGGCAAAGAAACAACCCAGGGTTGAAAGCATCCAATATAGATTTTTTTTCTTTTTCCCCATTTAAACAAAATATATCAATTGAAAATTCATTAGGAGAAAAAAATTGAATATGTTGATAAGAATGGGTTCTTCTTGCGTTTGAATCCAAAAACCAAGAGAGTAGTTAGATCTCTGGATGCTTGCATCTGCATCTCCATCAACATCGATCAGACCATAGTACTTGTTTGGTGGGCGATAGAGGGGGCACTCGAAGATGTGTGGTCAGCAATCTGCTGCTCCGGCTCCACATTCACAAGCTGGGCATGGGTTGAGCAACTTGAATGTAATTACGTATTCTTAACAAGCTGTGACATGCCGTGACACGTGTCTTCCCCCCCCCCCCCCATTTTGTCTCCATAGGAGGAACGTCACCAACCAGTCCCACAGGGGGCGGTGTGCCCATGGGCGGTCAGGTCGTCATCAAGGACTCACCCATGCTGGTCCAACAGGTATGTCATGGGCAACGGCAAATCCAGAACCGAATTTTTAGAGGGCCAAAAGGCAGCGGCGCACCCAGGATTTATCATTTAAAGAAGGGGGCTGACTGGCCACTCGTTGTTAATTTGAAAGGGAGTGGGTTGGGGGGGGGGGCTGGACCTGACATGTTATCAACTGATAAAGGCACACAAATATTCACTTCTTCAGTGTGCATATTTACCTTTGAAATGTTGCCAATTGGACTATGTAGAATCACCACTATATAAATTCAGAGCGTTGCAACCACTACAAAGTAAGGGTGTTGCCTGTCCCATACGCTTTTGGGACATTCTATCAGTTGGGGTCCACTTTTTTTTCTGTCCCAGTTAGTTCTTCTGACATCTTTGATTTTGTAATTCTGGATGCACTCCTTAATGTATTTTTCCTCCAAGAAAGCTAATGTGAAGCACTCGAACAAACAACAAATAAAAATTAGTTTGGAGTTATTGAAAAAAAAAAACTTGAATGGAAAATTACAAAGTTCAGATGTAACAGGGACACAGAAGAATGTCACCCTTTGGACCCTAAATTTATAGAATGACCCATTCTGTTCAAATCAGGCATCCAGTCTACAGACTATAACTCCAAAAATTCTGACTGTTTCCCAGCTATAACCAATACATTGAAAGCCAAGCACACCATTTTCTTTCAGCATATGAACCCAAGAGGATGCTATATAATTTGGCAAGGAGTCAATAAGCGCAACGGGGTTGATCTTGAGATTTCAGATTAATTTGCTGCTTTTTATAAGGACCTTTAAATTATACTGTATTTACATTATATGTATTATTTGTATAAGTTTTAGCAACATTTTCTCTCTTTTTTGGTTGTAGATTGAGTCTTTGAAGCATGCCTTATGCAAAGTGAAAGGGGAAAACACGCGCCTCAAGTCTGCTGATTTGAAGGTGAGATGACTTACAATTTCAAATTAAAAATATTTGTGATTAGAATTATTCTTACAATGGATATTTAGGTGGAAAATGGACTGTGTGTGCACGTATTTCAGGGACATGCACGCACCCTGGGGTACATTACCCATCCTTGTGTGCGGGGATCTGTTCTAGCTACAACAAATTTTAGAACATTGAGAATGATCAAGTTGATGTACTTGGGGTACAAGAGGTGATGAAAGAAGTCATGTGAACAGTCCTCAATCAATGCAATTTCTCACTGTAATGACAGTACAGTACACAAATATAACATGGTTTGAGGGTGGATAGTCAGTATTAGCTGCCCAAGGTATTGGAAGTTGATAGACTAGTTCCCAAGGTGAAGCTGAGGGAAAAAAACATCTACTATACCTCATACATATTCTCCAAAATTTTGTTGAGTTACACATCTTTTGATGTAGCTAGGATGATGTTCCCGCCTTCGTCGTACGGTTGCTTAGTATACTCGGTAGACTATCACACAGGTAACTCCTGTGATAGTCAACAGCGCATGCGTATTTACCCTATGCGTGAATCCTCGCATGCATGCTTGGTAATATAAACAGCAAAACTAGCAGGTGACACGTGATGGTGAATGGACCAGTGAGAATTTGTCTCTCGCTCATGAATATATATGAGGTATAGTGATAATACGTATTTGTATTCCTTATTTCATTTTTCATTACCCAGCGGATCATGGACACCTTAACCCCTCTGCACGTGCCCAAGAAGCCGACAGGGCTTGCCAGCCCCACGGGCTTTGTGGCCTTGGTGCCTGCCGCAGAGACTAGTGAAGCCCCGCCAGCAGAGGGCACCCCTGATGTCCCCGCAGCCACTATCGCAGAGCCGCAGAAGGACGTGACCATTCTTGCCAGGAGAACAAGGAACTTGCTCCATGTAAGTTTGCTGTGGTGCCTTGGGAATACAAGTATTGGCGCTGAGCCCTATCGAGGGCGCCCTTTACACAGAGCAGTGGCTTGATTTTTGACCCAGATGTCTGTGCTTCAATGTTGCGTACTCATTTTTACATGTACAAATAATGATATATTGGCTTTCCTGTACACTGGTAGATTTTCGGAAAGTTTCGGCTAATTACAAGCACAGATGTCTAAGGAATTACAAGTAAGGATGGTATGATAAAAAGAAATGTACAGAGACATTTTATTGATTCTCCAAAAGTTGTACTGAAGAAAATCATTTTCATTACCTTTTTCTTTCTTTTGGCACTGTTGAACCTGGTATCAAAATTTCTGGTCCTTTAAAATCTATAGATTGTCAATTTTTACCTTTGTGTAAAAAAAGGCAGCAAACGCCCATTGCAGTACTGGCGAAGTCTTTGTAGTAATTTTACAGTGTAGTAGTCGGTGAAATCGTTTTGAATGATCACAACAGCTGATCTTTCATGTTAGTTGTTCCCAATTGTTCAAAACTTAATCCTAATAATTAAAATAATTTAAGTGCCTCAGGAACACTCGTCTGAAAGGGGTGCAATTTTCACATAAAAAATGTATTATTTGCATTCTTTTAAAATCGGTTCTTGTGATGAAGTCTTTCTGATAATTTTTTTTAATCTGAATAATCTGTGCAGGAATTGCATCGTCTGAGTGCCAGCCCCAAAGTGGTGGACATTACTCATCGTAAGCCGGGCGTGGTCCCGGCCATTGACAAGGCCACGCCCCTCCACCAACTGGTGGACAAGGTGGCCGGCGTCCAGCAGCTGAACACCAGTATAGCACAGGTAAGAAATCAGGGAACCAGTGCATTCTAGGTCAGAGGTCACAGAGGCTGCTGCTGTGCCATGGCCGGAAGCATATTTTCATAAAACTGCGAAGTGCACAAATGTTTGACTAGCAAAAGCAGCCAACGAAAAACTTCATGTGATTCTGCTAAGTGTTTTTTTTCTAATTCCTTTGAGAAACTTGGCTCTCATCTTGACATTGATAAGATGTTTTGCCCCATGCCAGTGTTTAGAGTATTTCTTAGTGGTTTGAACAATCATCTTCCTGTAAGTGATTCATTCTAAATTTTCGAAATAGAGATTTTTAAAAAGTTTCTTAACCCATTAGCACTTGTATTACATTGTAATACATTGTATTTATTCACTGAAGATTCAATGAAACTAAAGAGTGCTCGAGCGGTTTCGGGCATTAGAGTGAGTTATAGGCAGGGCGGTTTGGGGCGCTACAGTGAGTAATAGGCTGGGTGGTTTTGGGGACTACATTGCCTAACGAGTTAAACAAGCCCTTTTGGTACCCAAATGAAAATTAGTCGATCCTATCCATTAACAGATCTGAGACTATGAGGACTTGGGCATATGTATTGAGAAAAGGGGAAGGTTTACTCTTACTGGTAGGGGAGAAAATCAGCTTATATCTCTTATTTAACTGGTAACTCGCTTTCCTGTTTGTCGATGATCAGCTTCAGAGTGAGATCCGAGCACTGCTGTCCAGCCAGCGACCAGGGGCCCAGGCAAAGACCGATTTCTCAGTCTTCCCATCAACCGACTTCTCCAAGGTAAGTTGCTGAGACCCAGAAAATTTCCTTTGCACAAATATCACGCAGTGTTTAGGAGGTCCGTATAATTGGCCAGAGGTGTGGTATCCAGTCTACATAATCCACTGTTGCATTTTTCATTCTCCACAGGCACAGACTGAGAAGATTGGTGCCCCGCGCATTGGCAAGCTGTCTATTCCCCTCATCGGTGACCAGCAGGCTTGCAGCTACTCGGTCAGCCTACAGCAGTCCCAGCTGCGTAGGGTTCACTCCCAACTCATGGCCTGAAATCCTGGAGCTGTTTGGAGTATCACAAGCCTATTTATTAGAATAATAGAATTCTGTAATGCAGCCATATTAGTTTGGTATCCTGTGGTAATAATGGAGATCTCCAGCGAGTGGGCCTTTGCATTACTGGCACCAGTCTGATTGTGGGGATTTTTCGAAACCCGGCTCTGTCTGTGTCTTTGGCTTCATCCCTAGTTTCAGAAGCAAACCATATGAAAAAACTGTACTGTACATTGTTGCCTCATACAGCATTTTAATGTTCCTGAGGCAGGCATAGACTGATTTTAAGCTAGAGTCTACAGACAGTCTGGGCCAAAAATCTCCTGAAGCCAATTAAACCGCGACAAAACCCAAAGTTTAGAAAAACACCCTTTTTGTTCACGGCTACAAATATTTGCAGTAGTTTGCAGTTGCAATTACCGTAGCCTAGCCCCCCCAAAAAAACAATTCAGATGTAGCCATAATTAGATATAGCTGCTCTATATAATCAAGCTTTATACATTGTTATCGTCTTTGCTTCTTGTGTTATCCATCATTGTTGACAAATTGTTTGCATGGGTAAAAATTATGCTTCTGCGACCAGTTAGCAACCCGAACGTGAATTTGTGACGTAATGGACCGTATTTGTGTTGTGAATTTGCAAGCATATTTCACATTAAAGATATAGTCCATCATTTGTAATTTGTGCATTTTGTTCGTTTGAAGCAACAAAAGTGTTAAAAATCTAATGAAGGATACTGAACAACTAACCTGATGAAGTTTCAGCTAAGCTTCAGCTGTATATTCCGAGAAAAACAGCATTCTAGGATCTCAATTTCAAATCAAAAGTTACTGAATCATGTTTTGAATTGTTTTGAATTGCAGCTATACGCGACGTCGCGCACTGATCCGACGAATTATAGCAACCGCGCGCGCATGTGCGTCGTGCCAATGCTTGCGCGCGCTTCGCCGAATAACAAAACGAACTACTAATTTAAATTTTGCTACGGTGCGTCTTAAGACGCACTGTTGGAAAGGCCTTCTTTCGTTGATAACTTCAAAATGACAACTTCCCAGAAAGAATAATTTCACAGGGAGTTTAGTCCCCTTAACTATCTTACAACCAAGTTTGTTTTTCAACAATAATTACGCCAGTTACTTTTCGGATGGCTGCAAATGATGGACTATAGCTTTAAGCATTTCATTATGTCTAATTCGTTTCACTTTCAAGTATACCAGTAATAAGGCATGTAGCAGTGATGTTGTCAAGTCAATTACAAGTTCAGTCACAAGTAATTCAAGAGTCCAATCACAAGTCCAATCACATGTCCAATCACAAGAAACAACGGAGGATCAATAACAAAAGAATGCCTTTGTCAAAGCTTATTTGGACAGCTAAGTGATTTGAATTTGGACTGGAAGACTTGTGATGACTCCACTCATAGAGCTATATTAAATTACTAGAGCGCTAACTTCGTGTACAAAGTAATGCCTGCTGGGCGCATCCATGTTTGTGCACAAGCCTTTGTTTTGTACGGCTTTTGTACGGCTATTTGCATATCTGCGTTTGTATTCCATATCGATGCGTTATCGAAGCCAATACGCCCAAAACCGAAATGCACGATCAGCAAATGAGCATGTCATTTTGCTGTACTCAAACAACGCAACGCGTGCGCGTATTTGTTGCAGATGCTTTTTGCCGTCACGGTTTTTTTTAACCGTCAGTGACGCTTTTAAGTTGTTTGCGTATGTTCTACTTGCGCGTTGCATGTAGAGTACACTTTCAAAATTCAATCTATCTAATTTCAATATGTTCTACAAACACGCACATGAATTCAAAATGTCTGCGCCCAGGAAGGCTTCAAAGCGTCTCCGTGCACAGAATGACGAGTTAGCGCTCTAGTAATTTAATATAGCTCTATGACTCCACTACACCCCTGGCATGTAGATAGAGACATTAAAATACAGGACCTTGGAAATGTTAGTAAAAGGTGTCAGCAAAAGTGCTCTGGAAAATTGGAAAAAAAATATGGATGTAAATCTGCTGTATAGAAGTAGATTAAATGCATGAAGTATCACAACCCTACACAAAATATCTTCCCTAGTAATCCTGTTAAGTGTAAGATAACTAATTAAAAATGTGCAGAGCTACCTGTTCAAGTCCAGAAGTGTTTTTATTCAATTTTGCTAGAAACTTCACCTAGGGAAGGTTATTTTTTATCTTGATAAGAAAGAGGGATATCGGGAATGTTTTCCTTTTTTTTTTTTTTTTTAGAAACAGTACAAATGGTGAGGAGGTATGCAGAAAGTTGTATATCCATCCATTTTTAGGAAGCAGGGAACTTCATTTAGTAGTGATAAAATTGGGAATTACAGGTTGTTTTATGATGCAAAATCAGTTTAACATTAGCTTTAATGTGACAAAGTTAGAAACAGTTATCCAATGTTATCTTCTCCTGTTTCAACCATTGCAGAATTTTGACATCCAGTCTGTCAAGTGTTTTTTTTTTGGTCAGGGTCAGGGGTACTTTTATTCTTACCAAAAATGACAACATTTTAAAGAAATGTCAAGGTTTGTGGGATATTGTAGAATTTTGTAGTGAAATGTTTGCCGCATTTACAAGTTTTGTGCAATACAGTGTTGTGTGCATTGATCGATAAAAACTGATAATCAACTAATAATAAAAAGAACAATTAACTGCAAAAGAAACTTGATAATTCTCAAGAAACGTCGAAAGTATTTTGTTGAGCCACTCTATTTAATTTGCAATTGACAGTAGACAAAATGACGTCCCACGTTGTTTATATGTGCGCTTTCTTATGTGAATTTTATAGTGGTTCTCATCCTCACCAGGGTCCCATAGGAAAGCACACAGTATGAAAAAAAAATGTGATGTCCTTGTTGCTTGGGGTTCAATAATCAAATTAATATTATTATCAGCGTAGTGCGATAAAATTATGAAATTTTGGAAATCTTACAACGTATTATTACAGTTACCATAATGGTGTTTGAAGATTTTTCTGTCTGTAGGGCGTTTTTTGGTTGTTTTCCTGGAAAATTACATGCAGGTGTCTGAATAAATTAAAAACATGCATATGCTTCGAAAAGAGACAATGATTATTTGTTGTCATTTTTTTAAAAATGTCTCCATTTGTGGTATCGCTCCCTACATTCTTTGCATCAGTTCATAAAACATTTAAGCAGTTTAATTCACATTAATGAGCCCTTCCCATGAAGCGTTTACATTTCGCGCATATATCACTGGTTGGCAAAGTTCCCCACGCGTCAAATTTCAAAAACTGGTTCGTACTGAGAGCATGGGCGTCGCCAGGATAGGCCGGGGGGGGGGGGGCTTGGCGCTTGCCCTCCTCCCCCCGAAAAGCAACAACCAAAAAAGAAAAAGGGAGAAAAAGAAGGGGGGGGGGGGAAAGAAGACGCGGTGCGAAGTCATATTGCTATTAATTTAATGCACATTTGACAACTTGGGCGTCCGCAGGGGTGTCAATGGGGGTGGGGTTGTCCACCACTGATCATTTACCGTTCTACGAAATGATAAATACCCATTAAATACAACGAAACATGGACTTTTCCAACTTCGATGAGTGGAGGAGAACTTGCAAAGGAAAACATACCAAAATCGACTTTAATATCTCAGAAAAAATAGATGACTTGTTCCTCATATTCAACGCACAAAATCGACAGTAAAAATACTGATTTAAATGACAAAAATCTCATTTGTATTTGAATGCTTGTGTGTGATCTGTAAATCTTACTTAGCTTAATAGCCTCAAGTGGTGTCCATGGACGGATAAAATTGGTTCTTTTAAAACGTGCATTACTTCTGATATTTTAAAATGTGCATTACTTCTGAGGGAATAGATCAATTTCAGTAATTCTTGTTTGAGAGAACATGCTCTTTTAAGATATACTTCGATCGAGAGGACATGCTCTTTTAAGATATACTTCATTAGTGTTTCGAATTTGATTGCATTTTAAGAAAAACAATCAAAAATTCGGGTCACTTTCTTTTTGACACCCTGTATAACTTTTTTTTCTAAACCAGAAATGTAAACAGCTGTAAAAATATTCCCAACTTAGGAAGTGAGGTCAGACAGCCGGGTCGGATTGGGACTTCATCAGGTATTAACCAATCTGTCCCGTGCTGACCCATCTACTCATCCGTGTTCTCAAGACCCGTAAGTTTCTCTGACGTATGAAGAAACCAACATCAGTTATTTCTTAAAATATATGAAATGATTTCAAATGCGACTTAAAAAAAAAGCCGATTCGGTCTCGTTTCTTGTATAAGTTATTTTGTCCAAATTTCTCTTAAAAGTGGACATTGTGTACATGCTGGACTTTACCAAGATCTGTTGACAAAACAGCCAAACGATAAAAGCATGGACATAAACATCATAGCAGATTTGTAATGGAATAAATATCATAATCAAACACAAAACTACAAATAAAATAAACATGTCAATTTTTAAACCATAAAAATCTTGCACATGCTACACAATATTGTATTAATATATGGTTACGTTGACAACAAGCTGCCCCTGTGTCGAGATACGTCTTTCCTTCACATCCTTAATCTGCTCTTCAAGTTCACTTCGGCAGTTTCATTTTTGACTGTTAAAATCGGTAGTAAATAAGTAATGAGTGCACGAGGGCCTACAGGACACTACGCAAGGTGGTATGAAGATCATACTTTTTGGGTCTATTAAACAGAAATTTTGAATGATATACTTTGCAGATTAGTGCCCCCCCCCCCGTCTCCTCCCCAAGAATTTGTAAAAGGGAGAAAAAGAGCTGTGTGTATGCCTACTGTTCGCAACTTTAACGACCTCCGGAACGCAGAATGACACCCCCAACCGAACTTTTAACTTTCTTGAAGGGTTTATGAGATGAATTTTTCCTAGGAACACTTTTGTGCTACTTTCTACCCTTCTTAAATATACCAGTATGAGAGCAATTTGACGTCCCTTTTTGGTTAATTTGATTGAAAAGTGTATTTCTTTTAACATTAAAATTGTTCGATATTTTCCAGACAACTCGAGGGGCTGTTGCTGTACGTTGCTTCGGCATAACATCTTGACCAAAGATCTTTGGTCTTGACAAACAAAACATAACACGTTGATGATCGATGATTGGCTTAATCTTTTCTGGACGATTGAGGGCTCACTAGTCCGGATTTCCGAAGAGTGATTCATTTTTACTACAGGTACTGTACAGCATTTTGAAGACGTATTGAATTTATAAACATTTCGTTCGTGCTATCGAAGAGAAATACAGAAGTGAAAATCACTTTTTTTGGTAATCAATACATTTATATTTAAGCTTAAATTAGTTTCAAAACTTCAAAAGATTTTGTAGGAAAAAAAGAGAGGTGTTACATGTTTACCCCCAAGCAAAAATGATTCATCCCAAATAGCTGCGCGCTGGATGTTGTTAATAGTTGGTGCCCGACCCCATTATATGGAGAACAATGTTGGAACCGCACTCAACATTGGTAGATAAACATTCTCGATATGGCCCCGAGGGCTGCCAAAACAGACGAAGAAAAACGTGAAATTGTGCTGGAATACTTGGAGAAACAATGTGAACCAAAAGAACGTAAAATCATGCAGGATTTTCCCGAAGGTAGGCAAAATTTCGCTCAGTCGTATTCATAACAAGCATCCATCTGTGCACGTGTGATGAGTCTCAGTCTCACTCTCATTTGTTTACATTTTGGGGTTTGTGTGGTTTAGGACTGTTAAGTTCTTAAAGTATCTTAACGTTCCAAAATGACTTGTGCAACCTCAAGCAAACTTCTTTTAGCTATGCTCTAACAAGCTTAGTTTTCATAATGTTCAACAGCAGTACTTTGGTTGCAAATGCGACTTTTTTGTCTGATGTAGGCCTAATAATATCATTGTCATGCTTGTTTATTCTGCATCATGCATCCAGCGAAGTCACCTAGCACTGACTGCACTGCACTGCAGCGCACATGCTGAAGCCAATTTTATTTTGCAATTACAGTGTCGTGATTGTGCTTTCTGTAAATTTACGCAAGATAGAATCTTGCATTGCCAAAAAATAAGAGGGGAAAAAAACGACCTTGACACAAACGTACGAGCAAAAGTTTTGATTTTCTGAGGCCACGCACGGTACTCATGATACTATGAGTATGGGTCATGCACGCCCGAAATGGTAGGAACCATCCGGGTACCTGTACAATCTTGTGCGTTGAGTGTTTTTACGCAACCCTGGAGCGTGTCTATGTAAATAGCCATGTTCACGGGTGTAACCCAACCGCGTCATTTTATGTCAAGCCATGGAGGAAGAAAATCTATTTTCTTCCTCCATGGTACATAATCACTGCACAGGTCCTTGAAGAAAATAACGATCCACGATGAAGATTCAGCCTAAAAAGGATTTCACGCCAGAGTGCACACTGGTTTTGTGTACAAACCAAATTTGTGTATAAAGGAATGACGAATGCTTGGTTGATTACCATGCACAGCGTGCGCACCAGTCAAACTTTGCCAACTGGCGCCGAAGCGCACACTCGACGACTGTTTGATGCACTACTTGCTGTACTTTTGTGAGGTTGTAACTCGCATCACGGCTGCGGTACTGAAACGGCAGCCAAAGTTGGCCGATAATCAGTGCAGTGTTATACAAATATTGAGTGGCTCAGAGTGAAAAGGGAGGAATATTATCCCAAGTTCAAATCTGGACTTTTCCATTTCACGAGGCAAAGCCGTCATCTAAATAGTGGATCGTTGATCACATGTAATTGAATTGTTCATCCCAACGCACGGCGTGGCCGCGCCACAAAAATAGAAGTTATACTGCACGGTGAATAGAACTTCATTGTTTCATTACTGCAGGTGGTGGCGCAAATGATGGACTGTAGCTTTAAGAATAAAGTTTTGCATTTAAAACGGTTTTGAATGTACATACCCTGCTTGTGCTACACAAATGTAATATCGCAATTAAAATAGCGTATTTGTGAATACAATGACCACAACAAATTCCGTATTTGCAGCCTGTTTATGGGAAAGCAAATATTCTTACAATGTTAATATTATCTAAACAGGTGTTAATCCCCCCAAAAGTACTTGTAAACATTTTCAGCTGGCTTTTCTTTACTTTGTGATTTTTATGATCAACAAAAGCAAAATCGATCCTACCGTACAATAATCATAATTGCAAGATGGACAACATATTAATTTGATTAAGTCATGTGTTTCTCCTGTTTAGACCTAACATTCACCTCGATGTTAAGGCAAAAAGCGGCGTGATCTTGACAGCAGAGCTGACAACTTACTGGGACTTGCTACGACAGAGGAAAGGATCGACCCCAAAGTGTTTGGTGTATATGCATGGGTTAGTACGTCTCATGGAAATGGCAGGTATCCAGAATTCGAATGAGGACAAAGCAAACTGACCAAAAAATTAAGGTTGACCCCAGTTCTCGACCGTTACAAAATTATTCTATAGAGGGGTGATTTGATGAGTTTCACTAACGGAAGTGGTGGCGCTCTTCAACAGCTTCCAAAAAATTTGCGAAATACAAGCGACTTAATGGCCGGTTCATACTTCACATGAATCGATTGTAAATTGAATTGATGACATCACTGCAAAATATTTGCGCTGCATGCGCCTTTGCAAAAGTAATACAAATTTCAACTCGTGCAAATATTCCCTGCAAATGTTTCATGACGTCAGATTCCTTTCGCATTCGCGTGAAATATCAACCGGCCTTCAGTCACCGAAGTTGAATAAATAAGTACGGAAACTGGAACATAATCAGTACAACTATGCTGACTTTGTGCCAGTGCAGATGATCAAATAAACTCTCAGTTGGGGACACGATTGACGTCATGGAAAGCTTCCACGTACTCTTATTGCAAAATGCAAACTATATTCCAGTTTAAGGCAACTGTACCCATGGGTTGCAGGGTTGTGAATGTACCCCCCCCCCCCCAAAAAAAGACCCCCCCCCCGAAAATATATGTACATGCACGTGGGTTGTACATTGATACAGCTTGATTTTGGACTGATTTCTTTAGCTACATGTACTGCAAGTGTCACCACTAAAGAAATAAAACCCACACTTCTTGAATTATTCGAATGGGCCATAAAAGGAACTTGATGATATTTTTTATGTATTTTTTTAGAAATTATCCTTTTCCTCTGAAATCTGGATATATACGCAACCGACTTTATAAATTTGTATATCAGATTTAGAGACTTATACCAGAACCATTCTCTTTGTTTTACTGTAGCACTTTCAATGCGCTTGCTGAAGCATATGCCAGTGTCCGTGATGTCCTGCACGAGGGAGCATTCACTGTGGGAAAGAAGGACAGAACACAACTCATGGTGGAGGTTTTTTCACTCTCAACTACCAGCTTGTGACTGGGAACGAATCCTGGATGAATTTTCGAGGTCAGATTCAATTATCTGACGCCTCATGCGCACTTCAGCCTTCGGCATGGGAATAGACATTCCAGACATATGAGTGGTTGTAGTATGGGGTGCACCATCTTCATTGTCTGCATTGTGGCAAGAAATTGGGAGAGCCAGGAGAGACGGCAATAAGGCAGAATCCTACATAATGCTGACACCATCCAGTTGCAAGCATGCTGATGACGCGATCAAACATCTTTGTAATTACTCGAAAGTATCACTGCATCAGGAAGTTCATCTTGGAAAATGTGTTCTAAAAGGGTGTATAGACTTTCCAGACCAGCAACGACATACAGTGTGTTGTTGCTGCTTCGGTGATGGCATGTCCTCTTAGCTAACATGTATGAGGTCTCTCTCCAAGTCTCGTTGATGGCTGCAGTTTTTGAGCTTATCTCTGAGCTTGTTTGGACTTTTGGGTGGTCGAAGTCCGGATAGGAACTGTGTGCCCTCTCTGGTTTCAATCCATCAACAAGCTTGACGAGCTGGTAGTAGGCTCTAGCCGACTTGGAGTTGGCAATATATTTGTCCATGAGTTGCTCAGTGCCATCGAAGGGACGATCCCAGGCTTCCTGTTATAGGACTCACTGGCAATGATCAAACATCTTTGCGATTTCTCGAAAGTATCCTGCATCGAGAAGTTCCATCTTGGAAAATGTGTTGTACAAGGGTCTGGTCGTTGTTCGGACCTTCCAGACCAGCAACAACATACAGTGTGGGGTTGCTACTTTAGTGAGCCATGTCCTCTTAGGTTATGTCTCTCTCCAAGTTAAGTTCATGGCTGCAGTTTTGGAGCTTATCTCCAAGCTTGTTTGGGTTTTTCACCTGGAGTCAGCGTTCGAAGTCTGGATACGAACCATTAGCCCTCTCTGGTTTGAAGTCAAAGATGCTGTCATCTTTCAATCCATCAACAAGCTTGAGGATGTCTCTCAGGTAGGAGGCTCTAGCGGACTTTGATTTGGCAACATACCTGTTCATGAGTTGAACATTCGTCGAAGGGACGATCCCAGGCTTCCTGTTTACAACTCGCTCCCTTGATGTGTTGTTCTGAGTAGTTACCCCTGGTGCGTTTCAGTGTGTCTATAACAAAGGCAACAAGTTAGAATAACAAAAATAGGCACAACTGAATAAGATAATGAAGAATACAACTTTTCACAGCAAATGCACACAAGAGAATTAATGATGCTTTGTTTTTGGTCTTTCCATGCATTCTTAAACAAAATCATGCAAGCACACAGGTATTGGAGGATAAAAAAGAAGAGTATTACCTTTGAATTTGTTGTTTGCAAATTCATTGACGAGGTCAAGGGGCAAGTTTTTTCCTGCCCCTCCCGCAATATTCGCAGTGCGGTTCCAAGTCATATTGTGGATCAATCTTGCCGGCAGCCATTCGTTTACACCTGCCAAAAATAATGTCATGAAGGTGAATTATTTAAAGGTGATTATAAATGCAAGGCAGATTATGTAATGATAGCAACAACTAAGTGACATTAATGTAGCCTACATATGTATTAATTCAAGTAACATTTGATTAGTTTATCCTTAGTGACGGTGATGATGACGATAAGAATGATGTTACCACTAGTGTATTTCTGAATTACAATTGAAATTAACTTATTTACAAACCTGCTAGAAGTCGGTATGCCAGCGTGAGGTGATGTGGAATGGACATTTTCCATAGCCTCAACATCTGGGGACCATCAGTTTCCCTTTCTGCATCTCTGAAACTCATTATGAGCAATCCATGCCCCACGAGTGACCGGCTGTAGGCTGGCACATGATCGTTGTTGACGTCCTTGCTGGTGACCTTGCATTTACCACTCGTTTTCTGTTCACGAAAAAGTCTGAAAAGTAACAGAAATGTTGGGAAATTGTATCCATGAAGTTAGCATAGCATAAGTTGGTATTGAGAATAATCAAATTAACTATTGGGAACAGAATGCGATTAATAACGATCAGGAATGTACCTTTTTTCCCACCCCCATCACAATGCCCATGCCCATACCAGCTTTTCAAAAATAAACATTACAGAATTTTGTAACATGTGGTCAGGGAATATGGAGATGAACCCTGTCCAGGAAAATTAAGTTAATTTTGAACTTTTTGAGTTTTGTGCACAATATTTTCTTGCCGGTAAATTATACTTACCTACAACACTGGACGAGGGTGACATACCGGTAACATTTCAACGCTTTGAGTAACTGCTGTGGTGTCTTGTGTTAACATGCTACTCGCCGTGGTGTGCTGTGTTAACGTGCTACTCGCCGTGGTGTCCATGCCATGTGTTAACATGCTACTCGCCGTGCTGTCTTCGGTTACTGCGCTTACGTTTTCTTGTGTGCTCGTTGCGCTGTTCTCTGTTGCAAAAGACGATACAGGAAGAGCTACAGAGATGTCCAATGTCTCTTCTGGAGGAAGTTTGATAACTTCAGTTGGATCATGTAGAATTTTCACCTTTTGTTATAAATAAAAAGAGAAACATCTAAATTCTTATCATGTCTTTTCCAATCCTTATCATTTTCCCAAGACGTTGTTTCAGGGCAACATACTTACTTTAATGGACTGCAGACTGATATTGTTCAATTTGGAGATGAATTTGATTATTTTTTTGGCCATGTTTTTGGGGGCACAGGTTTTCGAACAAGGGTGGAGTCAGTTGAGGAAGTTTAACAGAGGGGATGATGGGAGTGCACAGGATGTAGAGTTAAGAGATGGAGATGATTGGGATGAATGGAAAGGAGAGATGGAACCTAGGGAAATTTGGGATGTGCGGTCAAACGACAAGAAAGACTTGTGGAGGAGATGTTGTGTCTCCGTAGATGCTGCAGGCAGAGACTGAAAGCGACAGCATCAGTGGCGACACATATTGAAGGCTAGTTGTTATTTTTCTTAAAGTTGGAGTAGATCATTTGTCATTTGTGCATTTTAAAAACGATTTAGCAATAAAAGTGCTCAAAATCTAAAGAAGGGTCATTATCCTGTTTATTCTGAGAAAACAATATTCTGGGATCTTAATTTCAATTCAAATGTTGGATATCATTTTGAACTGCGCCTGAAAACAACATCCAGGACACATTCCACAGGGTGGTGCAAAAAGAAGGAAACCCACCTTTGACGACAATTTTCACACTACTTATTGAGCATATTTAAAAGACTTAATGAAATGGGCTGAAATTAGTGATCTTTTAGCATCAGTTAAGAAAAAATGATTTCAAATGCATAGTTTGTCTCTGAGACATGGTAGTTTAAAAGTTTTGTATGCAAAACCTGTTTGACCACGGACAGCTTTATTGCATCCGCTTGAATGAGCACTGGTGCTTTATTTGAAGATAATCATGTCAAAAAAAGATGTCCTATTTGTGATCGTTGGGCCAAAAAAAATTGTTCTGCTTCCTATTACATGTACATGGCATTTGAAAATAGGGTAGGGAGGTAATTTCTTCTTTTTTTTGCCATTTTTTTGGTACTGGTACAATCATATGAAGGTGTTTGCGTGTAATCAAGGGTAAACGTTAGAAATTGATGGGTTTGGGTGTTTTTTTCTCATTTTTCCAATTAAAAAAAAGTAGGATAGGGCTGTCAGAATGGTGAAGGTAGGGAAATCGGAAGGAGAACTATCTTATTTTTGTTTTGGCCTTAATAACTCTGTTGTTTCCCAATGGAATCTAACCAAAATTTTAGATCAAGTAACGGAGGCATGACAAATTTTATGGAGTAATTTTCATCAGTTTTGTCAAAGAGGGTGAGATTTAAACACCATACAAAAACAATACTCACTTTCAGAATTTGCCACTTTTGACTTAAGTCCTCCAATGTTAATGTAATGCTGGAGATGGGACTGTACCTCCACCTCTGTTCTCGCTGCCCCGTTTCCTCCAAAATGGACCTGCTCCCTAATCCTTTTTGGTCCAAAAGTCAAAACAACTCAAAATTATAAATTTCCAACGATTTTCTTCAACTATCATTATTTTACTTCTACTTGATGTTTTTTTAAACACCCCTCTATCTATGTTATGCCCTCTCGCGAGTAGTTGTAAACAACTCCATATATAGAGATTTGCGCACGTGTCGTGTACTGCGTGATGTGGCCCAGAATGCAGCTGTGCTGATGTAGAATGAATTTAGGACTATGAAATACTGACCCAGTGGTAGTGTTAATGCGCATGCCTACATGAGGATTGTGAATGTTCAACCAATAATGGTAAAAGGCACCTGATTTCATTTGAGTCAAAATTTCATGCGACACTGTAAAAGTGTTCAAGACCAGCCAGCCGGTCTTTATCATTTGTTTAAAACTGGTCACGTGACAGGCTCTCGACCAATAGAAATGGGTAAACTGTCTTAGTTATGAATACGATTTTTAAATATGCATTAAATTTAACTTCTTTCATTGCCCTCTAGAATCTGTTTGCATTTGGTGATGTTGATGGCGCAGGACGCGACGCTAAGCTACAGCATCCACTGGGCCTAGCCTGGAACCCACTCATATAGCACCTGTATGTCGCTGATTCTTACAACCACAAGGTCAGTTAGTTCTGGAAATTCCCCCCTCCCCATATTGGAAATTTGATCTCGCAAGAGAAGGGAGACAATTTATTTTTGCCTTATTTGTCTTAACAGTCATATAGGCTAGCATTTTTATTTTGATATATTGGTCATTACTTTTTTTCAGGTATGGTTTTCATTAATCAAAACAGGGACTTTGAATGGTGAGTCAACAAGAAAATCATGACCCAGAATAATGATTTGTTTTCTTAAAAAGTAGTCAAATGGATACACTAATGAAGTATGTCTTAAAAAGAGCATGTTCTTTGATGGGTTTGAGCTTTGAAGTCTGAACATCATTACGATCGAGTATTCTGTTGGGTGATGTGTATTCATACATCATCAATGAACAGCTCGAAAGAAATAACGTATAGATAAACTTGTTGTGGAACACAAATGAATAACCTCTTTTTGCACCTGAATTAAAATTTATTTGTGTACATCACGATTTGTTTGATACAGCTGAGGTTACCTTTCCATCTACAAGTGAAGCACCAATCAGTGAACTGGACTCATGGTCGTCATCAGGTCAGCCAATCAAACCCCTTGTCTCAACCTTGTCTCAGTCTCAAGACTATCTCAAGACCTTTTTGTGGTCTTGGTCTCGGTCTTGTCCTATCAGAGTTTCAGTTTATCAGTTTACAGTAGAGCTATAGGCTTACAGTATTGCAGTCAGGTTGTTTTATAGCCTCTCTGTGTACTGAAATAATTTTCCTCATCATCTTGCATCGAAAGAAAATTTGGCACTTGCAAGCTTTGTAGAATGTGTTGAAAAGAAGTTGTTTTTTTTGTTAATCCATTGACTCTTTTCAACAACAATGTTCGTATATGCTTTGTACATAAAAACCTAGGAGCCAAGGTGGTGCTTTAGCTGAATGTTCAGTTCAGTACGGTAGTATTGAAAACAAAGACCCCTAAAACGAAGACCGAAGACCAAAGACCCACTCAAAAACAAAGACCCACTCGAAAACGAAGACCCACTCGAAAAGGGAGACTCGTTTTCGAGTGGGTCTTCGTATTCGAGTGGGTCTTTGTGAGTAGTATAACAAAACTCAAAACTCACCTCAAGTCAAAATACCTGTTCCCTTGAGGTTTGACTAATATCGAGATTTCACTGTATATATATAGCCCTGGCATCTGCAATTGGCAAAATATCAATCATTTGATTTCCGTGAATCTCAAGTCAAATTTATTGATAAGTTTCTTATTTTGTTGTGCATGATTGATTAAATTGTTAATATTTTGTTATGCGTGATTTATTAAATTTTTAATAATGTTTATTTTTAAAAGAACTTAAAGTGTTTTCATAATTTCCATTGTATGAGCTCTGTGCACTACCAAAGAGGGCGCCCTTTTACCTAGCAACGACGTCCCATGGGATACACGCCCATATTGGAATATCGGGGTTTTGGCCCATTTTGGGCAATAGAGCTGTTTGCCTATATTGGAATACACGTCCATATTGGAATATCCCAGTTTCGGCCCATTTTAGGCAATATTCAGCTGTTTGCCCATATTGGAATACACGCCCATATAAAAATATCCCAGTTTTGGCCTATTTTGGGCAATATTGAGCTGTTTGTCCATATTGGAATACACACCCATATTGGAATATCCCAGTTTTGGCCCATTTTAGGCAATATTCAGCTGTTTGCCCATATTGGAATACATGCCCATATTGGAATATTGTGGTTTTGGCCCATTTGGGCAATATTGAGCTCTTTGCCCATATTGGAATACACGCCCATATTGGAATAACAGGGTTTTGGCCCATTTTGGGCAATATTTAGCTGTTGGCCCATATTGGAATACACGCCCATATTAGAATATCCCAGTTTTGGCCCATTTTGGGCAATATTGAGCTGTTTGCCCATATTGGAATACACGCCCATATTGGAATATCCCAGTTTTGGCCCATTTTGGGCAATATTGAGCTGTTTGCCCATATTGGAATATTGGGGTTTTGGCCCATTTTGGGCAATATTTAGCTGTTTGCCCATATTGGAATACACGCCCATATTGGAATATCCCAGTTTTGGCCCATTTTGGGCAATATTGAGCTGTTTGCCCATATTGGAATACACGCCCTTATTAGAATACACGCCCATATTGGAATATCGGGGTTTTTGCCCATTTTGGGCAATATTTAATTGGAATATCGGGTTTTCATATAATAATGTATTACTCTCAAGTGACAATTGAGACATAAAATCAATCATTCACAACGTTTTTGGTTAATAGACAGTTATGCATCTTTTAGTTACTGGTATTTATTGTTTGAAGGCTCACAACTGTTACTGCAGAACGTGCCCCTAAGTATTACATAATTGAATTATTTAATAGTTAAAATATTATTTATCAATTGAATTATTAAATAAATACCTTGGAGAGTTGATAGCTTCTGATTGGTAGAGACTTGATCATGCGGCTTCAAAAACAACCAAGCATCTTTGTAATTCTGGACGCAAGAAATTTCCTCCGTCAGGTAAAAATGGGACGTCATTCATAATGCAATGAAGATGAATAAACGCATTGAAGAGACAGGGTAGCATATCGCAGGCATATACTAAAATAGGGCCCCTCAACATAAACACAAAAAATCTGGAAATATATCACTGAAAGAAAATCACAAAATTCAAGCATTTTAAGTTTAACTGTTTATTTCGTTAAAAGGTATTTATTCATGGAAATAAGTAATGAAATACAATGTAATTATCTGAGTTATCCAGATATGGTTGCATTGGTATCAGTACACCAAATAAGAAAGATACATTTTAGAAAAGACTTAAAACTCCCCTGTAGTTCACTTGAAAATACTTTTACATTGTGAATAATGAATGATTAATTCCTACTGCGCACAAAGCTGTTCAGTCTTAATTTTTCAATTAAGATTTATTTCTGGTATTATATCAGACGTGCATCCATAATTCACATTTGCATGTCACATTCCGTCATAATGAAATGTTATATTGTAAATCAGTAGGCCTATATTTCAAGTTCCTTCAGTTTTTCTACTATTATGCCAAGTAATTAATTGACATCACTGATTTAATTTATAGCTTTAATTATTTTTTATTTCATAAGTTATTCACAAACGGGACCAGGCTCTGTATAAGCTTAGGCTTTTTCCTGGTTCCCTCATGTGTCACCATTTATGTTTAATTGATCAAAGTGTTGTACATGTATTAGCATTCTATTAAGTTTAGTTATTGTTGTAGTAAATAAACTGTTGCATGTTAGCATTATATTAATTTGCGACAAATGGAAAATAAAACAATACAATACAATACAATACAATTTGCCACTGAACTACCATTAAAAATCACATTCTCATCGGTTGGGTAGGTAGTTTGCTAGAGGAAAAGGCATTAAGGAGTACGTCAAGAATTTACAAAATCGTACATGTCAGATGCAACACAGACAAGAAAAATTGGACCCCACATTTATAGATGAATAGATATTATCCACACATTTTGGGTCCTACAAAAAGTTTACCCAAATGTGTGAACATCCAAACGTGTAAACTTTTGAGTCTAAAATGTACACATCTTATATTCTAAGGTTTCTTTAATTACCCTGCTCATTTCTCATCAGTTAAAGCATGTTTTGGATCATTTTGTGTTATTTTGGGAGTATACAGCTCAATGCTACCAAAAGTAGGCATTTAAATTCAAACCAGAAAACCATCTTTGTAGCAGTGTTTCCCCTGGCTAATAAACTGAGCGAGGTGGTGCAAATTCAAATTGATGATTGAAACGAAAATTACGCAGTCTGCAAACTGAAAAGAATGCAGCGCTCACAAAAATGCGCGATGATTCCAACTACACATCCAAATTGTGAGTTCTTGATATGTAGAGATCAAAGCAAAACGCTCATAAATTACCCAAAATGAAATTTGTTTAGATTAGTACTGTAGTTCCTTTATTGCAAATCTTCACAGCGAGGTGGTTATATTGGGAAACAATTTAGCGAGGTGATCACTGAAAGTAGCAAGGTGTTGTAGCCCAGACCTTTCGAGACTTCACTCTTTTTTATCAATTATTTGAATATTTAGAGACAAAATAAGTCTAAATAACTGTGCTACAGAGTGTCCTTATTTGATGAAAGCATGCTTACAACATTTAAGTTCAAGTAAAATCCTCTATCGACAGTCAAAATCCTGCCTGAGACCTCTTCGAGATAAATTTCCCATAAAATGTTTACCTTAAAACTCTACAGTAACATAAAAATGATTCAACACTTAAGTGCGTTAAGTCTTTCTTTATGCACATTAGAATTGACACAAATGACATTTCATTATATAAGCAAATTGTGTGAGCTCACAGAAAAGTCTTAACTACATTTTAACTACTAAACGAAATGAAACATCAAGTTGAAGTTCTTACAGGCAACAACACCCCATCAGCAGGACACAAACCAAAAATCGGTATCAGAAAAAAACCCCAAAACCAAAGAAAGAAAGAAACAAACACGATTTGGAGTTTGATTATTCTAGACTGGTCCCCGGCCCACTAAATATATGGGGACCGGAATTGTGCCCATTTAAATTAGCCTTGTTGGCAGCCTTGAGCGTGGATGACATTTCAACACATGGCTATAATCAAAAAACTCGCTCTATAACGTGTAGGCAAAAATTGCCAGTGTCTCCACGTAGCCAACTTTCAAGCATTTCAACTGCATAGGCATGATAGGTTTCAAATACTGAAAAATAGTGCCCCTCTCTTAGTTGCCAGAGATTCTTTCGAATTCAGTGAAAGTTGAAGCTCATCACCACACAAATTGCACGTAAGTGATGTTTCCATTTCGCAATAGGCTGGTTCCACGCTCCAATTATCATTGTGATTTTGTATTCAGGGGCGGGAATCAGAGAGACCAGTCCTGCATAGAATTTGCATACATTAGGTGGAAAACATCCTAATGTATTCGGGATTCATTGCTAGCTACCTGTCCCTACATTTGAAGTCCGAAGGACAATGGAGGAACCAGTCTATGATTACCCATGACATTTGACCATGAGTAATGACATTTGATTGGCGCAGTTGATGTTTCATTGGCAATTGTTTCAATAATGAATGTGTGAATTTGCAAGTTTGCATTCAAATGACCTCTTATGGCCAAACAAATAAGGCTCAAATGACACATTTAACTCACGACTATGTTGCATTTTACATTGTAAAAGAGCTTTCTTTGTTCTCATTGGCACAGGCCTGATCTTTGGTGGTGTCATTGTACAGTTTAGTGCCATTAAGCTTGTACCTTGAGTTAATCTGTCACCACACGTCATCACAAGCCAATCACAAGTCATCCAGTCTCAATCTCAAGTCAAATTAAATCAAACAAACGTTGTTCCTCCTCTGTTATTCATGACTTGACTTGTGATTTGACTTGTGATTGATTTGAAAACGTTCTGCCCAAAAGAGGGAAGTCCAGTTTTAAATGTGTTCTCCACAAATCCTCATCAGTCTTCAAGATCAAGTTGGCTCCTCTCCAAGTTTCATCTCCAGTTTGTCAAATTCCACGTCGACAACCTGATCAGCCTCATCGTCAATCTGAAATGGGAAAAGAAAGACAAACACTTCCCTTCAAAACAAGATGTCCCCATATCTCATGGTAACTGTGCTAGTTACAAAAGATGAATATTTCTATATGTGGTGATTCTGAAAATGTTTCAGTTTGGCATTGGTAATTTGGCTCTATACCTTGTCAGTGCACATACCATCAAACAGCTTGCCTCAAAAGCTGAATTTCCAGTCAAAACAGTAACAGCAATAATCTGGTTGCAAGTTTTAAATATGGAAAACTAGTGAACCTAGCCAAATAAAAATATGTCCGTGCTATTTCTGAGTTTCACCCTGAAAAGTGGACACTGTTTTCCCTAGCCAAGTTTGTGCCAATGCTAAGTAGACACAGAAAAGCCAATTCTCAGTGAAGACCAGCTTAATTGCGATTTGATGCAAGGGGAACTTAAAGTCACTCAATATTTGTTTAAAACTGACAGATCCTTTTGATTTTATATGAACTTTTATTTCAATACAAAATTGGTGGGAAATGTATCTCTCTCTTTCAACAACCCCTATACGAAATGTTTGAACCCAACTCTGTAGCTACTGGCTCTTGGGAACATGCCTGCTCCCTCTGTGGCGTCAACTAAGGTCCAGACGTACCCCTCCCCCCCCTGCTTATCAAATTAGCAATTTCCGGTCAGTCAGCACTCTTAACAAACCCTGTTTCACCACTATCTTTCTTGACCACCCCCCACCCCTTTCAAAAGTTTGGTTTTTGATCTATTGCAGTGTCGGATAGACTGTGTTATAATCATCGTGGGGGGGGGGGGGGGGGTGCGGGAATAAGATGCCAGACCAGACGATGAAGTCAAATTTCTAATGATCACATCCTCACCTTTAAGGGCAACATCAAGCTCCCTGAACTGACAGCCCACATGTTCTTGCTGTTGCAGCTGTGTTGTAGGCAGTGAACCATCGTGGTCATATGCGGTGAATGCATAGTTGATAAACGTCCATTTGAGATTTAGCTACAAACTTCAGTTGACCTGTCAGGTGACAAGAAGGAAAAGTGAGGATTTACACGAGTCTATTTAAATATCAGCAGACTGCCAAGTGTAAATATGGGCCACCATTGTTGTAACATTGATGACACAAACATGCATACCTCTAGGGGGTACCATTATTGTAATAATGGTCGCCCCTAGAGGTACTAATGACGGCACAAACATGCATACCTCTAAGGGAGACCATCATTGGCAGTTCACTCCCCGACCTGATCTACACGAGTAGCGGAGTGCCATAAGGTTGTGTTGTGCCGCTACGCCAGTGACTATCGTCGCAACACGAGAACTTGTTCTGTTGTGAATTACTCTGATGATACCTCAGCTGGCTGGATCCTTCGTAACGATGAGTCTGATTACAGGACTGAAATATAACTATTTTTTCAATGGTGCGATGACAATTCTTTTGTGCTTAACGTGTCCAAAACAAAAGAACTTATTTTTGACTTTCGTAAAAAAACAACACAATGCTGGACCTGTTAGTATAAGAAATGGACACGCGGGAAAATGTTTAAAAAGAAAAAAAAACACCCAGAGAATGTGTGCCAATGCCAAACAGAGGCTCCACTTTCTCAGGGAGTTATTAGTTCATTTAATGTCCACGATTCAATTTGGCATCTATTTTTACCAGAGTGTTGTTCAGTCAATCATTTGTTTTAGTTGCATTGTATGGTTCAATAATTTAATTGTAAATCAGCAGAAGAAAATTGAACGGATCACAAAAACTGCAAGACAAATAATTAGTCTGGAAGTTAAACAGGTGAATAAAATTGTTGAAATTAACAAACTATCCCCCAAAACTGCAAACTGTAACTCAGGACCAAACTAAACTCCTTTTAACTAAAGATTTAGTGCACTCCCCACTCGCACAAACTGGTTCAGATTTTCTGTTTTACCTAGCACCATACATCTCTACAATTCTAATTGTATCAAATAACTACTGTCGGCTACAATTTTATAATCAGATTAGAACTTTTTAAATAAGTAACTTAGCATATCAGCATGCAAATTTAAATTGCTTTTACAGATTAAATTGCAATTTATAGATTCTTACCTTTTTTGTTTTCAAACTTCTTTTTTTTTTCCAAAGTAGGGATTTTTACTGGTGTTTTACACTTCTGTTTTCTATAATTATCTTGTCGCAAACACTGTTTTGAAACATTGCTTTGAAATCGACTGATTAAACATGCAAAATCATTCAAAGTTATGTTTCTCAACATTACATTTTTTTAAATGATAAAACGCTAGGGAAAAGTAAAGCATGTGGTCCTTGGGCAAAGTTTGCACAAATACGAAGGAGTTGTCAATTTATTAAGTCCCGACTGCCGACCACAAATTGAAATGTTATACAAATAATGAATGTTTGTGAGTACAATGGTAAGAATAATTTCATGAGGTGACAGATGAAATGTTCCATTCCACGAGGCTTCGCCTCGTGGAATGGAACATTTCATCTGTCACCTCGTGAAATTATTCTTTCTATTGCACGAACGTGAAACATTCGTTATTTGTTTTATATAACACCTGAATAAATCCTCGTCATCTGATTGGTTGACTTTTAATAGCCAATTTATTCAAGTTAAAAATTGTTTACAAGTTTGACAAGTTCAGAGTTATCATATTTAATTTATGCAAACTGTTCAACAGGTTGAGAACTATCATATTCAATTTATCTCAATTTAAAACTTTTCCATAAGTTTAGAACTTAAACAGTTCAAGAAGTCCAGAACTTTTATTGCCAATTTAAACACCACAGCGCCATCTTCGGCAACATGTGCAGTGACAGTGCAATGGTACTTCTAATCACAGTGCAATAGTACTTCCATTGCACTGTGCGCTGCGCGCCACGCGCGCGCCGTGCATTGGTACGAATAATTCTAGACATGTGATCAACGATCCACCAATCAGATGACCGGGATTTATTCAGGTGTTGTATAAAACACACTATTAACTTTCTGATTCCACTTCAATGTCAACACTCATTTTGAGGAGTAAAATTGTTTAACATAATTTATTGGACCAAAGCTTTTTTTTTTAAAAATGGGTAAGAAGACAGAGAAAACCCAATTGTCAGTGAAAACCAGCTTAATTGAAATTTGACGCAAGGGGGACTTTGCCAACCAGTGGTATAACCAGTGGTGCTGCTACACAAATATTGAGTGGCTCAGAGTAGATTGGGAGGAATATTAATTAAATGCAAGGTAAAATCTGGACTTTTTTATTTCACAAGGCGAACCCAAGTAAAATGGAAGAGTCCAGATTTTACCGAGCGTTAATATTCCTCCAATTTTAATTTAATTTTAAAGCCACTCAATAGGCCTATTTGTTTTATAACTGACAGATCCTTGTCATTTGATTTACAGTTAAAATGAACTTCTATTTCAATATATACTGGTAATTGGGGGGAAATGTATCTCTCTCTTCCAAACCACCCCTTCACGAAATGTTTGAACCCAACTCTGTGTCTACTGGCTTTTGGGAACAATACGCAATGTGTGCAATGCTCAACGCGCACACCAGCATGCATTTACACACACATACGGTACCTCACCATGAACAAGGATGATCCTAATAGATGCATCCAGTTTGTCAGTAAAAACTTTATACACGTGCATGCGACAATGATTTCTAGCGCCCATTGGATAAATGCTCGAATTGCGTTAACTTCCAGTTCCATTTGTGCCATGCTTCACCGTGTGAAGTACGCATGGTTGAATTGCGATGTCGTCACACTAACGAACCAGAAAGTAAATCCCATTATCCATGGGCGAATGGGACTTTTTGAGCCCCGGCATGAATGGGAGCAATAATGAATGTCACGTGATGTGAGTTCCACCAATCAAATGACAAGGATCTGAATGTCAAATATAAACTAGAATATTTCATGGGCAGGGCTCATCACTTCTACCTGAAAAACAACAGGTTGAGCATACTGTACATTTCCACAAATAAGGTTTTATTTCAAAATCAACACAGATCAAGCAGTGATCCCTGCACATGAAAGAAAAGAAGTAACTTTAACAACAATGTGACCTGGTCTATTATAAAACAGGCGCGAGTTGAAAATCATATTATTTAAGCATACTGATCAGGCACTGATGCATGAAGCTGATTTCACTTTTATATTTGGCAAAATAAGAAATTAAGTAGACATTAAAATTAATGTGGCACGTGACTATTTAGTACTTTCATTCTTAAAAATGGTCATTTTTAAGAGCATCCTGCTGAACACACACAACGTTGTGAAACAATGACTGAAACAGTTTCAGACTTAAGTTCAACTTGGATTATTCCTCGGTTTGACTAAGCAGGTCACAGAGAATTTACCGGAGACCACTTTTTACAAGAAGCTAATAAATTGTATATAACTAATTGGCACCTTAAATGGAATGTGATTTTAAATAATACTTAAGTGCAGTCAACAATACCTTTACATACATGTCAATATAAGATTACATCTTTGGTGTCTCAAAGTAAATCAGTACGGTACATGAATGGAAAGACTATAAAAATAAAAATGGCCAGACTCAAAATGAGTTTGGATTAATTTTCAATACACAATGTTAAAAATGCACTGTCCATGGTATTATTTTTTTCTTAACAAAGTTATAACTTCCTGGTTTTATTTTGGGCATCTGCACCCCTCTTAAAGGGAATATACAACATTTGCAAACATCGAAAAATCAAACTACCCAGTTTTTACAAAATACCTTACTAGGATATTGGTAAATGACAGTCTAAAGCATCCTGTAAAATTATGGCACCTGGTGTGAAGTCATTTTCAAGAAAATTGTATTTTTGTATACATTTCCAACGGTGGTCGGCCGACCACCGTTGGAAAAGCTAACTATTTTTCAACTACTGCTCCAACTTTACACTTTTTTCAGTCCAAAGTTTGTTTGCTATTGGTTACATGTTCATGAACGGGTGCAGGCCAGCTAGACTGGTTCCCTAATCTTACAATTTTCCGGCATCTATAAATTGATCCATTTTATCTTTAGTGGAGTCAAGGAACCAGACTACTTGAACATTTTTGTTTTTCTTGGTTTTTCCAGCATTTTCGAACACAAAACTTCAAACATGTCAGTGTAACAATGTTTGATCTATTATACTAACCCCTCAAAGAGTTCATTTCTGAAAATTACAGCAAAAGCCAATGATGTACATTCCCTTTAAAATGCTTTAATTCTGGGTTGCTTTTGCACACCATATGGTAGTTCCACCTGTGAATGGATTCATTCCCAATTCCCTACATTGTAAATTGTAAAGGGTGTTGGTACAACCAACCTACTGGTACCGGTATATTGCAGAAAAAGTACCAATTTGGAAAAAGAAAATCTGTTTTTTTTTAGGTGACACTAAAAAAGTTAAACCAAAACAAAACAAAATGCATGGACAGTACATCTTTAACCTTAACAGTCCTGAATCCTCCAATTTCGATATAATTTTGCACACCCCCTAGAGAGTTAGGGTTAATAATACTTTTTTGATGAATGCAGTGTTAATGAAGGCACTTTTTGTGAATCATATACATTGTATCACACAAATTGATACAGAACAGGAGAGTATCACATATTGTTCAGTGCACATTATGGCAGCGTATACAATGCACCAGACCTTATGTGTAGAGAGCATCTTTGGTGATTTTAATTAGTAAGAACGAATTAACACAAGGTTCGCTCGTCCATATCCCAGCAAAACAAAGGCATTGCCCTCTGATATGGCTGGTATGTATAAACTCTACAGTGAATAATGTGCAGAACGAATGGGTGAATAAGCCAAGCACACACACTTACCGATAATGTCTTTGGTTCACTGTATTCAATTGTTCTCATCATCAATATTAAATAGTAAACATAAACTGGCAAACACAATGACAAGGTTTTGGCAAAGTTCAGGAGTACAAGAACTAATAAATTTAACATATATTTCCAGTCTAGATATAATTTACAGACATAGAGACTCTAGTTTACAGAATGCACATTCAGCACTTTCATTACCCTTATATACCGATACTTAGTCAAGTTTTAAAGTAGCCTAGCCTGCAGAGGTTTAATTGACCTAAGACATAATGAACAGCCAGGTGGGGCTGATTGGCTGGTGTCCCCACCTGGCTCCCACAGGAAAGCGCACACATACCCGGTAACCCGGTGACATGATTTTGTCTTAGGTCTGTTGAGTTTATCACAAGTCCTTTGACTGGTCCAATCATGGTCTTGGTTAAAGTTTGGATTTGAATTTGATTCCCCTTATAAATACAGACAGCCCCTGACAAGCGCGGTCAAGGTACCATGGTGGTAGAGGTCATTATGTAACTCACATACAGATCCTTGCCATTTGATTGGTGGAACTCACATCACGTGGCAATCGTTATTGCTCCCGTGCACACCGAGGCTCAAAAAGTCCCATTCGCCCATGGGGAATGGGAAATACTATTCAACAGTTAAGATCATTCTTGTTCCATGACGCAGTATTTGTGTGCAAATGCACGCTGGTGTGCACGTTCAGCATTGCGCATAGCGTGTATTGTTCTAAAGAGCCAGCGCTAGAGAGTTGGGTTCAAACATTTCCGTGAGGGGATGGTTTGAAAGAGAGAAGTACATTTTTCACCAATTTTGTATTGAAATAAAAGTTCAAATATGTCAATGACAAGGATCTATATGTTAGTTATATAAAACAAATATTGAGTGGCTTTTAATTGTGAAATGGGAAGAATATTATCGCTCGGTAAAATCTGGACTTTTCCAGTTCACTCGGCTTCGCCTCGTGAAATGGAAAAGTCTAGATTTTACCTTGCTATAATAAATCTCCCATTTCACTCTGAGCCACTCAATATTTGTATACTATCATCTAGATGAATCAAATCTGGACTTTTCCAGTTCACTCGGCTTCGCCTCGTGGAATGGAAAAGTCCAGGTTTACCTTGCGATAATAAATCTCCCATTTCACTCTGAGCCACTCAATATTTGTATACTATCATCTAGATGAATCAAATCTGGACTTTTCCAGTTCACTCGGCTTTGCCTCGTGGAATGGAAAAGTCCAGATTTTACCTTGCGATAATAAATCTCCCATTTCACTCTGAGCCACTCAATATTTGTGTACTATCATCTAGATGAATCAAATCCAGTCTTGGGAACTTTGGCAGCGCTTCCCACAAATTTCTGAGCACACCTTATGAGCACTGTTCTGAAGCTAATGCACATGTGTGAGGTATGCTTGGCTTTCCTGGGCAGCTCTTCCAAAGTTTTGTAGACTGCATTTGATTAATCTTGATGATAGTGAGGTCTACCCACCATGGTGACTTACTGTACCTGTCAGGAACCAGCAGCTGGGAGAATAAGATCCAAATCCAGCTTTCAAAATCCTTAACAAAATGAATTGAGACTTGAAATGAAATTGTTTTTCAAGTGGTACTTGAGCTTACATGGGATGTTGAAAATGGAAAATTTCAGCTCCGACAGAATCATTACGATCATGGAGTCTGGCAGCCGTTTTGGACAACCAATTAGGTAACAACTCAGGATGACTGTTCGTCTTTGTTGCTAACCCTCTCCAACGCCTGTGGCAAACAGTTATTCCTATTTGCTCAAATGTTGCCAACATTGCCAAACGTTGCCATTGTTCGCTTAAGGGGAAGGTCCCTCCAATGACCCGAATGAACTCATCAAATAATTTATCACACAAACCATAAAGAAAAACTATACATAACAATCCGGTGAATTCTTTGATCAGAATAGAGGTAGAAATAATGAGAACTTCAGCTGCAAAATAAATACTTGTACATAACTAACTAAAAACAAAAAATATAAATGCACAAAACTTTTTTTAACAAAACCTCTTTCATATCTTTTTCTTCTCACAAAATATCATTAGGTTTTCTTGCCGACAAGTATACCTAATTCTTATACCCGTTATTTTTTCCCCCTGCTTGATTTGCCTGCAAAAAGCTATTACATAGAGTCCAATCAGCAAATTGTGTCCAAAGGTAGCAGCGAAAACCATTCTATGACCCAAAAAGACTTCACAGCAGAACTTTCCCTGAAGTTTAAAATCCCTTTTTCTGTTTTAAAATTCGTCAGTCATTTCAACCTATTGTTTTTTTTTTCTAGTTTGGTCAAAATGCCCTGCACAAGGGACTTCAGCAATTTTCTTTTTGACACCTCTCGACTTGCATTTCAAAATAGTTCACTATGCCACCGTTTTCACCAAGGGATGGGCAGGTCAAAATATTCTTGCATGTACATCCATTCTTTCAGAAGTACATGTAGCAGTCATGTAAATTTGCAAAAACACTCTAAAACTGCACCAAATACAACCACGTTGAAAAGGGGTAGGTAGGTGGAGGGGATACATCTTCTCAATATAAGTCAATAAATGATCATCAAACCTGCATTTCTGGCCACTGAATTTTGGCAGCTCTGTACATAGATGAAAATGGGAATATAGGGACAACTGTGCACAAGCTGAGTTTGGGATCCCTGGCTTAGTAATGAAAGTTGTTCCAGTTGAATTGTGCCTGTCTTCCCATTTCCATGCGCTGCCTCCGTTTGGCCTCCAACTCCCGCCACAAGGGCACAGCTCTCCGGGTGTCCCCTTGCCCATCACGGTATCCCCCACCATAATCCCTATTATATCCCCCACCATATCCCCCACTGTTTCCCCCATTGTATCCTGCACAGGATCTTCCACCGTACGGGTTATATCGCTGCGCCTGTCTGTGCTGGGAAGTAGATCTCACAGGACCATTTGAATTTGTCTTGCTGTTTGCCACAGGTGGTTGCTGTGGGGGTTTCATCTCTGTTTTGTCTTTGTCAGGCATGGGATTCGGTTGAGCGGTTGCATTTGGTGCAGGTTTTTTTCTGGCCAGTGCCTCTTTAGGGGAGGCCACTTTGTCAAAATCGATGAACTGGTTCACGTTCCCCCAGTCTTCCCCGCCGCCGACGCTGTTTCGCCTGGGGCGGGGAGCTTGCGCCGGTGCGCTGAGGGAAATGTCGCTGTGGAAATCAGCAATAGACGGGGGATTGTTGCAAACGGAGGGGCTCTGCGGCGGCAGGTCTGGGGGATGCTGCCAGGCCTCTAGCCTGCGCGGCACGTTTAACCCCCAAGCCTCCGAGATGTGGCTCAGGATCAGGTTAGAAATCCTCCGGTGTGCCTGGTGGTTCCAGTGCACACCGTCCGCCACGCGCCGGTGCAGCTGGCAGCGGAAGTAGAAATGCAAATCAAGAACGTCAAAATCAAAAGCCACCGCCAGCTCTTTGGCATAAAAGTTACCCTCCATGACATCCAATCTCAGAGTCTCTGACAGGAACTCCAGCTCGGGAAGCAAGAAGCCGCCCCGGATCTTGTTAGCCACCGGCAGCGCCGTGTTCCAGATGAACAGGCACTCAGGGTCCAGCGTCTTCCCCATTCGGTAGAAGGTCTTCTCCAGGTTGGTCTTGTAGGTCTTCATTCCGTTGGGACCGTAGCGAGAGATGTCCCACAGGCATGAATTCATCAGAACCACGTCGGGCTGGGGGTCCTTCTCCAGGTCCACGAAGATGGACTCCACGTATTTGTTGTACACCCTTGTGACAAAATAAAACCTACAGAAAAGAATACAATCTCTACTCAAAGAACAAAATGACTGATTAACGAGATAATACAAACGATTTATCACAGGCTCACTCCAAACTAAATGGGATCAATTCGGTTATTTCTTAACTATCCTTAATACGTTATTCTTTCTCATTGAGCTTTCCATAATTTTTCAGTGTTATCAATCTGCAACTAAGGTACGTTTTCAGTTACGTGGATTAAGCATGTCAGCATCTAAATGCATAAGGACAAATGGTCCTAAAAAGTAGTGAACCTACTACAAAAAAATATAATTTAAGGCCAAAAATCTTCAAGAAGAAAAATCAACACTCAGCGGTACATGAAATTTCAAATTCTTTGACATTAGAGTAGAAAAAAAAAATGCTTTTGTAAATGAATTACATGTAAATGCAACATTTCAATCCCTAATTAGAGCTTAACAATTTTCTCCTGTAACTGCAAACATGAATTGTTTGGACAATGAGATAAAAACTGTAAACTTGTGAAATGAAATGTAACATTTCAAAGGAACCCACCTTACACCAGATTGAGGATTTGTTTTTGTACAATACTTCTTATTTATGAACAAAATATCTATAATTCTCCTGATTTAGTTTCATGTTGTTTTCATTGCATAATCACAGATATATGACAAAATTTGTTCGGCTGCCTCTATTACTCATACCAGGAATCACATGCACAATGAAGTTCATTTATCAAGACATTTCAGGATGCTTAAAGGTAGCCTCATTTGTCATTTGTGCATTATGTCCGTTTGAAGCAACACAAGTCTCAAAATCTAAAGAAGGGTGCTTACCAACTAACCTGATAAAGTTGTAGCTCTGTGAATTCTGTATATTCCGAGAAAACAATATTCTAGGATCTTGATTTAAATTCAAAAGTTGCCGACTCATGTTTTGAATTGCTCCTGAATTCAGCGACCAGGACACGTTCTTAATTGAGCCGATTGTAGCTACGTGATGTCGCGCACTGAACCGACAAATAATAGCAACCGCAAGCGCGTGTGTATCGTGTTAACGCTTGTGCGCACCCATTCGCGGCTTTGTCTAATTAAAAACGAACAACTAATGGAAATTTCAAAGAATACGTCATTAGACGCATCGTTGGAAATGGCCCTCTTTTATTGTTTTCTTCAATATGACAGCATGCTAGAAAGAATAATTTCACAGGGAGTTTACTTTTCATTACTATCTTTAAACCCAGTATTCTTTTCAACAATAATTTTGGCAGTTACTTTTTGGTAGCTGCAAATGATGGACTCTACCTTTAAAGGAATTATACTGGGTGTCCCCAAAAAACCCGAACCCTCAAAGCCCCCTCTTTTCAAGTTTAAAAAAAATTACAACACAACTGTTGATTTGACAATTATAGTTCATTAGCCTTTCAACAACGAAAACATCTGTCTAGTCGGAAAAATATTAATTGAGTTATGGCCAATTGAAAGCAAGCGCTACTTTTTCATTTTGTCCCCGGCGACTGATAATTGACTGCAGAATAAGAACACGGGCTGAAAGTTGCATCCATAACAGAGGCTACCAAGTAGAGGGCAGAGGCAGAGCAGCACAGTAAACATCTAAGAAGTTAACCAAACAGTCCTTTTCTTGACTACCATTTCTTCAAAAAGGAGAAATGACCATGGTTGCAAAAAATGTAAAATAAAAAAGGAACCACATAAACAAAGAAAGATTAAAAAATTAAAGAAAGCAAAATTACCCTCAGGCTCACCCCAAATCGATTTCATTTCTAAGAAATGACAATTAAGACCGTGGACAAAATGAAAAATCCCCACTTTTTAAATTGGCCATAACTCAATAAATATTTAACTGATACTGGAAAGATTTTTTTCGTTGTTAAAAAGCTAATGAACTATACTCTCCAAATAGGTCCTATGCCTTTAAACAATACCAAGGTTTCTGGGAAGTAAACTAACCCTGGAAAAGACACAGCCCAAAGGCCCATTACCTGACCAGGTGATAGTCTGTTTTGTACTGGCGGACTTCCCTGTAGTTGATGCCATTATTCATCTCCTCTTTCTTGCCGCCCTCAATCAAGACATCGTCCATGAAACTCAACTCACCCTGTGGGAAAATCAAATCATAATGTCAAGCTAAAGATGGGAAAGTCACAGGATTTCAATGTCAGGTAAAAACAGCTGTGAGCTAGTTCATGTAGGTATACAAATATTAGTTGAACACCATTATTTTTTCAAGACAAGTGTCAAAATGAGAAAAGATGCAATTTGTATTTTTTGAAAATATTTTTAACAAAATAAATGGGTGTTCTTGTTCAAGACCTGATTAGCCGCAAAATTAAACATGCAACAGTCAAAGGAATCAAATATCAGGTAAAAATCAGCTAGACTATAGGGCTGGTACTAGTATATGTGGCCATAAAAATTATTAGCCGCTGTTACATGTATGTTTTTCCGCATGACCAGTGTCAAAATGAGAAAAGATCAAATGTGTATTTTTTTTATACCTTAAACAAAGTAATGAGTGTTCTTGTTCCAGAAACGATTAGCCACAAAACTAAAGATGCAACGGTTAATGGATTTAAAAATCAGATAAAAATCAGCTAGACTATAGGGCTGTAGCCGTAAAAAAAATATATTAGGCCACCGTTATTTCTTCCCGTTTGAACAGTGCCAAAATGAGGAAAGTACAAATTAAAAAAGTTTTAACATTTTAAACAAAATAAACAGGCGTTCTTGTACCGTATGTTCTTGTTAGCCAAAAAAGTACAAATATTTGCAAGCATTTGCAGAAATTGCAATCAGAATTGCACTGTTTGGTTAAGGGACCTTCAATCCAAAATTTGCCATTACATGTCCCTCGCCCTTTTTAATGAATCACACGAAACTCAGGAGACAAATTGTACATTTATGGAGAACCATTTAAAGGTATAAGGCTACAAGGCCGGACCAAAATGAATAAAGAAATTCTTAAGGCCAAACCACATGCACTATACATGTAGAGTCTATACTCTAAGAAACAAAAGAGAATCCCCATAAACACTGAACACGGTTGGATAGTAAAATAAAAGAGCCAAAACTATTACAAAATTGTGGTAATTAAAAAAAAAAATGTTTTAACATAAAACAAAAAGGGAGGGAGGGTGGGAAGAAAATTGTTGAAGTCAGTGCTGCTAAGTCTCGATTCAGAATGAAGCCTGATCTCACTTACCTTAACAATGGCACATTAACAAAATACAAACTTATTTCATGAAAATGGCCCCAATGAATTGTCCATCTGTTTTCATGACTCATGAGGGAGAGTAGTTGGAAACAGGGTGTGGGGGACCACCCATGTGGGGGCCATTGACCAACACTGACCACGAGTTCTGGTCGTTTTAAAGCTCTGGCAGGAGCTTCTACAAGTCAATTCATGGTTGGTTGGTCGGTCGGTCGGTTGGTCGGTCGGTCAGTATAGGTCTATCCCTGGAAAATTTATCAAAAACGGGTCCCCTAAGTTTCCCATAAAATATAAACCAATTGACCAAAAATTGTCCAACTGCAATGCTGTTGTCAGTAAATGCACTCTTGGCAAAACTTTTTGGAACACACCCCTTTGTCTTGATCGATGCGCGTACGCGTCTATTTTGCATATGAAGTGTGACATTCCAGAACTGGGCCAGAGCTTCTTATGTACTCACGCTTGGTTTTTTTTTTTGCCTTACAATAGGTCTCCTGTAGTTCGGTAAAACAAAAATCATACTTCATTTTTTTCTTTAATGATGGTGAGATGGATGTGTAAGACCGCCCTGCATGAGAAATAGAGGAGTGAAGACCTCCTGCAGTCGGTGGGTCTGATGAAGATAACAGACAAGATCAGGCAAGGCAGACTGAGATGGTATGGACATGTAGCAAGAAGGGAGGAAAGCCATTGGCTGAAGAAAGCATGGAACTTTTAAATAGATGGTTCGAGGTCACAGAAGACCTGTGATGAGACACTGGCAGAACACTGTCAAACCTCACCAATGTGGATGTCAGAAATCGGACTGTGTGGAACAGGGCCATTAAGAAAGACAACGTCTCACCCCACAGCCTGGGAAAAATGGACGTCAAATGGAAATGATGATGGTGATGATGAACCACAGGAAAGGAGACAAATTGTCCAACTGTTTTGGGTATCCTCGATCCTCCTATTTCTGCGCAGATAAGGCTTTGCAAGCAAGTAGCTTAAAAATAGCAAAGCAACCACTCTTTTCCTCAATAAAACGAATATTGTTGGCTTACGATCACATTGGCTTACGATCACCAACCGTACCAATTAAGAAAGTGAAATCTCTTTATTTGTGGCAGCAAGCGGGGATTTCAAAAACGTGCAATTTTGGCGTTGTAGAAAAGAATCCTGCCTAATTCTGCGCAGGGGAGGCTTCATGAAAAAGACGTGCTGTCTAGGCCATGAAACTCAATATAAACATTTTTTTAAAATAACTTAGACTTGTTGGCTTTAGGAAAATATATTTCCTGAGCTTTTCAAACTTATTTTCTTTCTTTTTCCTTTCTTTCTTCAATGCCAATACACTTTTCGTAATTTCAAGATTATTTTCAATATCCCATTTTCAAGATTTATACAAAAGCCTATATTTACATATTTACATATTTACATAAATAGATTTTATACATATTTAACTATTAAATGTAGATCCCAATGATATTGTTATTCTGATCATCCCAATCAACAGAGACAGTTTTTAAGATGTCGGATTTTAAAACTTAAGACCAAAAAAAATTCCAAAATAATACAAAAAATGTGCCTTTTTAGTTGCACTGTAAGTTTTACACCCTTACAGAAACTGCAAATTCTTATCTATGACATCTTAACTATAATACTGACGATATTGGGAGACCAAGAAAGGTCACATTTCGGTCATATTTTCGACTTCTGCAGGCCCGGAAGCATCTGCCTGCATTTGTACTTAGCTGTAAAATGCCAATATTTTTCATTTTTTGCCTGAATTCCCAGCAGTGTTGTAGTCGAGACCGGATAGTCCGAGACCGAGACCAAGACCGAGACCTGAAGATTCGAGACCGAGACCAAGACCGAGACCAGCCCCTTCAAGGCGGACCGAGACCGAGACCAATATGGTCCGAGACCGAGACCGAGACCGAGACCGAGACCGAGACCGCTGATAATAAATAACAATAGTCGAAATTAAAAAAACAAGACACGTTATTATAGTTGAAAAATGTAACCTTTCTATTCACAAAGAATACAGACCAAATTTTGACCAGTGACAATGTTTACAAATTGATACATGACACCTTACTTGAGCAAACAGTAGTTACACTTGAGAAATATGGGCTTTGACATGTTGTCTACACCCAATCGTGACAAAAGTAAAAAGTTAAAGGTAGATGTTTCATCTGTTATAGGAACTCGGATCCAAAACTCCACAGTCACCCCCTTGGTTTCAGCTATGACTTCAAACGGATATTTAAAGATGCAATTTTAATTTTACATTGTGCCTCTTTTTTCCTAAAATAAATATAGGACTTAACTTCTAACAAGAATTGTGAACTTGATTTTTAAAAATGGGAGCTAGAAAATGTTGAATTAATTTTTAAATTTTTGTCATAGAATGTGGACTTGTACATGTAGACCCACAAGTTGCGAGGGGGTAGCCAGAATGTGCCAGATATGGATTTTTATTTTTTTTCTGAACGGGATTTTTAATTTTTGAGGAATAATGGGGTACTTTAAAATGAGCAGCCAGAAAATGGGGTCTCATCATACACTCTCATGGCAACAGTGAGTGGTAACTGGTAAGAGTGTGTGAGTTCAAAGCTGGAAAATCAGGTAGAAAAATGTACTTTTTCTTCAAAATAGTGTCCCAAATTGAAGAGAACATTGTGTGGGGTCGAAAATATAACTAATTGGAAGCACCTCATTTATTATCAGAATACAAAATGCAAGTGATTACGTCCACAGGGGTGGGCTAAACTACACAATCCCCGAAAATGGTTGACCCTTATTGCATAAATTGTTACAAGTTTATACTTTGCTTTATGTGGCCGACTCAACAGACAAATGCCGAACTTGTTCCAAATCGTTCAGTGACTGGTACTGCTGCAGTTTTACATGTACTTTGGGGACTTTCCAACGTGCAGTCGAGTCCAAACCGACCGCGATATATAACAAGCTTGATCTACGGGCTAGCAATTTTTTTAAATAACAACGGTACTGAACGAAGTGAACACAAAGTAATCGATCGAGCTGTAAAAGCTACATATTGCCAGTCTAGACCCGAGACCAGCCAAAATATCGAGACCAAAGGGGACCGAGACCGAGACCAAGACCACAGCTTCCGAGACCGAGACCGAGGCCGAGACCAGCAAAAAGTGGTCTCGAGACCGGTCTCGAGACCTACAACACTGATTCCCAGTAAAGCGTTCAATTTCCACATTTTTTTGGCTGCTGGTTAAAGTTTGTGCATCAAAGGATATGATCCCAGTGAAAGTATGTCATTTTTCAGGATGCACACCTTGCAAAATAAGGCAAGTGCGCAGAAATAGGAGTGTGTAGTTTTAGGAGGTCTGCATGATACACTTATAGAGAACCATTTAGCCCATTTTAAGGCTACTACACTGGACCAAATTGAACTACAATGCCAAACCACATGCACTAGAGTCTATCTAGAGTAGTAATCTGGGGGGGGGGGGGGAATATGCACTTCTTTAGTTGAGGACTGTGTTCACCATCCCTTCGTTCCACAACAATTTTTAATATGCATCGAGTTACCGGTAGCAAAATTGGCTGATAAGTGATCTGAGAAAATGAGAACTGGAACGAATAGTGAATAATGACTACAGTGAATGAATTGAATGAATTGAATTGAATCAAATTGAAATATGACTGCTCATAAGGCAGTACGTACTAAACTTGCTGTACTGAGAAACTTTCTATTTCAAATGACAATGATTTGGAATGTGGTTAACAAACAACCTGTGGACAGCGATGAGGTCATTTGATCGAGGTCATAAAACAATACATAGGCACACTGTGTGGGTGAATGTGTATACAGGTCAACCAAAAAAATGCAACACTGAAACATTTGCCTTTTTTCAAAAACATGATCTGTTAATTTGTATGTTTATATCATCAGATTAAACCTTAGAGGTTCTTCTTTCAAATACTGAAAAAATCATGAAAACGGCACATTTAGTTGCTGAGAAAATGCCAATTATGTAACACAACTCCTTTTTGGTCCATTCCAATGGCATGGCCACAGTTGAGGGATTTCACTGTACCTATTTGTGCAGGGCATTGTGTCCTAATCCTTACATTAGTTACAAACAACACAGCACACAATATGACAAGAGTACAAATGAATTTGATGGAAATACCTTTATGTCCACCTGAACAGGTTTCATATTCTTTTTAGTCCTACATGTATATTTTAAACCTTTTAAGCATCATAAATATGTCAAAATATTAAAGAAATTGCACTTAAAGCCAGAGTCCATCATTTGCAGCTATCCCGAAAGTAACTGGCGTAATTATTGTTCAAAAACATACTTGGTTGAAAGATAGAAAGGGGACTAAACTCCCTGTGAAATATTTCTTTCTGGCATTTTGGCAAGCTGTCATTTTGAAGAAATCAACGAAAGAAGGCCTTTCCAACGGTGCGTCTTAAGAAGCACCGTTGGAAATTTCCGTTAGTAGTTCGTTTTTTTATTCGGTGAAGCGCGCACAAGTGCACGCAGTTGCTATAATTCGTCGGATCGGTGGGTGACATGGCGTAGCAGCAATCGGTTCAGTGAGAGCGTGTCTCGGACGCTGAATTCAGGCCCAATTCAAAACATGATCCACAGAAAGTGTTCGTAATAACGATCGTTCGGTATAGCGATTTTGAATTGCCGGTTCCCTCTTTTGACCAATAGTGAACTGGCATTTCTCACATCCAGCGGCCGCACGAGGAGTCGTCAGGAATCTTTAGCAATCAGTAGTTCAATCTATCGCTCTTCAACATTCAAACACGAAGCAACTATGGGTCGTTTGATGTTCGAGAATTAAAAGTGGCCCAAATAGTGTTTAATACATATGCACAACCTGTAGATTTTTTGTTAACCTGTTGACTTTTTTTCAACAACAATATTGGGTATGTTTTGTACATTAAAACCGGGAGCCAAGGATGATTGTTCGGTATAACCGAATGTTCGGTATAGCAGTGTTCGGTATAGCGGCGTTCCACTGTAATTGAATAGCCAGGTACCGGTAGGATGATATAGTAAGTAGTATTGAAAACATTTATTAATTGATTGGCAAGGCCCTGGAAAAGGTTTTTGTCCATTTTAACCTGCATGTGCTCAGTGTCAGGGAGAGGACGTATCTCAGATTTCCAGTCGCCCATCAGTTTCACTATTTTACAGGATTGCAAAGCCCAAGTTGCCACTCCTCTGGTGAGAGTGGTTTGGAACTGGGAGGGAGTCAGAGGTTTGTAACCTGAACTTTGAGGTATGATAAAGGCAGGGCTATCGCAGGGTACATCTGGACACAATGAGAAATATCAAATGAGGGCAGTGACTGGGCATATTAGATGCTCATGCAAGAAGGGCAAGGCCAAGGGGACAGAAAAGCAGTTGTTGTTTAAATTGGATGGTTTTGGACGATGAAATGTCGAGCAAAATAACCAGTCCTTCTGATTTGAGGTGCGCGATCGCACCCCCACGCCATCGCATGCCTAAAAGCTTCCCAAGAAGTGCGAATAATCGCATGCCTGAATCCCTCTGTACCGCACACCTTGGCATACATTTACGGCATAATTATACTTCATAATTTGTGGAAAAAAAGTATGTCGGTGAAGAGTAAATGGCTTTACTGTAAACCAAGATGAATATTATTAAAAAACAAAATACCAGATTGTTCAGTCCCAGCTGCGACCACAGAATCACACACCTAGAAAAATCAAACGCCAAAAACGAAAAATCCAGGTGTGCCTTTTTCCACACGCCTGTGATTTTTAAATCAGAAGGACTGAATACCCCAAGAATGTAAAGAAAAATATGATCGAGTAAGGTGCTGCTGAAGATCATTTTACCCAGTAGAAGGGGTGAGGAAGTTGGATTTGCACAACATGCATCCCTATGAGAATTGTTTTTGTTTTGCTGAAAGAACACTTAATTACTTTTAGTGATCTGTGGACAGAACTTTAAAACGGTGGTTGTGTTCAAAATTCTGTTACTTGAAAAGTACATGAGTGATTTGAATAATTCTTGTACTAAAAGAAAGCTTAAATAATGACTCAGGGCTCTCATATCGTAGATTTTGAAAATGCTACAGGCAAAAGTTCATTCCAAATTGGTCCTGCCATTTAGGGTCGTTACTCGCCCTGTAATCTGTAAATATGCCAATTATTTTCCAGTGGGTTAGGAAGGCCACAGTCACAGTGGAGAATCCTGAAGAAATTAATGTACTGTAAAACAGAGGAACAGGCCTACTGAAGATGACCTGCTAAATAGGCCACATAACTGCTAAGTATGGTAGAAGTAAGTGAATAACTTATCATTGGACAGAATTTCAAATAGGTGCGGAGATGAGTGCGATAGGTGGCTTTGTTGTGGACGATGCAAATGTAGCACAATCTAACATTTGCAATTTCATGTCCCTCCTTAGTTTTATGCAAAGGGTCCGCATCTCCTCGATTCTCAAAACATTTTCACAACTGCTATCAATGCATTCATGTACATCACACTCTCAGAATGACGACAAAAAATCAAGGAAAAGCAGGGTAGCATTTGAAATGACCAATAAGAAGAAAGCTTGTATACGATTTTTGTAGCTACAATTACTTCATCAGTTGCAGCTACAAAAGCTTTATGCAAATTATATTCTTGTTGGTCAGTGTAAGTGCTACCTTAAATTCCTTGCGCTTCTGCCTGACTTAATATTACACAGCTGCTGACTATAAAACAGTAATACTTAAAGTAATAAACAATGTGTTTGCCAACAAAAAGTTCAACCATACTTAGCTTTGCTGCTGCTGCTGTAAGCAGCACAGCCAGCCAGCAGGGGATAATCCAATCTGTCACCACTATATCATAATCCCCTCTCAATCCCCTCTTATGCCAACAACAGCTACTGGAGGTTTGTGGCGGGTCCCAACAGGGTTTATTGCAATTTAGTTTGTGGTTTGGGGTTCCAAGATATGAAAACAAGGAGATAAACTGAAGCCTAAGCATTGAAATTACCAACCTGTTTATAATAAGAAGTGTTTGATACTTCCTGTAAGAACAGGATGTCAAAAACTAATAATAAGCAACAAAGACCCTCTAAATCAGGGTCATCCAGTGGCGGATCTGGGGGGGGGGGGGGGTTCAATGTAATTTTCAAAGCACAATTTGTACTTTGGATCCATCTTGAAAGAATTAAGCTTTATGTTACCTTTCTCTTGAGATGGTTTTCTGACAAGTAGGTGTTCGTCTGAAGCAGCGAAACTAAGTCTTTGTAAATGCTTCGCTGGACTGCATTATGAACAGAGATGAAAAACAGATTTCAGTATTATTTGTATACTTCTAATAATAAACATTTCTTCTGTTTCAAACTCAAAAGTAAACTTTTTTGTGGGACTATACACTCTAATAAAAAATTGCATGATGCTCAGAAATTGTTGTTTATAATTTTTCTTTTCTTCTAAACTGTTTTAATTTGTTTTGGTTACATCTCAGCCCTTTCTAAATGTTCCCACAGTATATTTAAGGGCAATCTTTATAACAAATAAATCAAGAGTTTGAAACTTGAATGTTTGGCCTCCCAAAAATGTTTGGTTAGGCCAAAAAAAAAAATATTCTGGTTCCAATTACATGGCATTCCAAAATAAGGTAGGTAGTGAGGGAATTTTTGTTTGTGTACGATCATATGGAGTCGTCTGCGTGCGGTCAAGGGTAAAAGGTTGAAATTGATGGTTTTGGGTGTTTTATTTTTCTCATATTTTCCATAAAAAATTCGGGTAGGGGCTGTCTGAATAGGGTAGGTAGGGAAACCAGAAGCAGAACTATTTTTTTTTTGGCCTTACGATAAAAATGTAAGGGCAACCATCTTTAACAATTAACCTCTTGTTGAAATTAGACCAATAGGCCTAAACTAGGGTGAAAACTGGTCATGTTGGAAGCTAATAGTACTGACAGCATCAGACATTCAGTTCAAAATCAAGAATAATGCTTGTCATATTTCTTCAAAATGAATTCTGAAAAACTTACTGGAATCCCCAATGATGACCACAAACTTGTTCCACAGAAGTTTGACAACATCTTCATTCAGAAATATTGCCATGGTTGACTGCCACTGATTCCCAATGTACACACCAGCTAATAAAAGTCCCACATACCAAATGTGGAACCTGACTCCTTTGCAACAGAGACAAAATATTTGGTTAACATCCTTGTCAATTTTTTTTTCTTCAAACTTAGACAATTATGTACCTGGCACACATGAATGTAGTTGCATGACGCTAATCATAGGTGCACGTAAATCCTATCAGTGGCCAGTTTAGGCTGGCGCATGTTTGGAGGAAGGAACTTGATCAGTGCATTTTGAAATTGAAGATTCAAAGTCCATGTTGGAATATTATAAGTGAAATACTAAATTATTCCAAAAACAAAATGCACAGCTATGGTTGAATTGTAGAGTATGGTTACAAAGCACAAAGTCATCAACATTATTAAAAAAATGTATGTCAGTCGCAATTTTTTTTTTTTTTTTAACATAGGCCCTAGTAATTAGTATTTCATTTGTAATGGGTCTGGGTGAAATTCGGATCTCCATATAAATGATCTAGTCGGACTTTCACGGATCCTCCATAGAAAATGTCATGATTGTTGATGGTATCGTGGTGGCGCATTCTCCAAAGTAGCCCCACTTGTGTGGTCTCCGTATAGGCTGTGCTGTATGTTTGGCCACACGCCTGGTTTTCCAACCTACTGAGGCCAAACGTACAACGCAGCAATACGGAGGCCACACAATTACAAGTGGGGCTATCCCCAATGTTAACCTCACAAGCACAAGCCATGGCCTAAGTAATGTCGTTAGGGCCTATCTGTCAAATACTGTTGGAAATCTTGAAATCTTGGGGAAAGGGATTGTGAAGAAGTCATTTGAAAAAAAGGATAAAAACAGTTTTAGAAAATTAGTCGAGCAAAAGAGATACAAATACAATTTGGGGTCATTTTAACTACAAATTGAGTATGGTACAAGTTTGATAACAACACTAGTGGTCTTGGTACGAGCACGAGTTGATATTTCTTCCACTATGTCAATGCATGATGTAGTCACAGTCTCACTCTCAATATTCTCCATCTCATGCTATGCTGCTGCGCATCACTGAACTGGAAGGTCAACAAAATGGTTGACCATGCACATTTACCACAACATCTTGTTGAAACTGAAATTTTTCGAAGCCGAGTACTACTAGTAGGCCTACTTGGTTCCTATTCAGCACTGAAATCGTTCTACAGCAATACATCTTACACAATTGGTAATTTTGGACAGAAGGAGCAATAAATAATAATATCGAAACACTTACCTCCGGAAGAAAGCTGAATTTCAGTCTGTAATCCAACGGGGTAAATCTAGCGAGCTGTAATCGCTGCACATTCTTGCCGAAGGTGCAACATGAAACACTGGGCGCCCTCCACAATCTCGATCGCATATACGCCTAGCCTCGCACTTGATATTCGATAGCCCATTTGGGCGTGAAATTGCGCTATATGCAAATTTTATTGAAAGTCCAAACTTTCCACCAATCAAACATCAGCCGTGGTGAGTGCTAGCGCGTATTTAACAATGAAAATCGCTATTTTATTTGCTAAGGAACCAAAATTTATATTAGGTAAAAAAAAGGAAAACAAAAAGGATAAGAAATTAGTACAATAGAACACATGTACAAAATAAAGAACCACCCTTTCGAAATCAACCTACACCCTCCAATTAAACATGTTTTGCTGCTAACTGTTAAATCCCCCCCTAATTAGTGAGAGTGTAGACTAGTCCGAGTATCAACCGTTGAGCAATGGACCTTTCCGTAACCAACGTCTGAGACTCTGAGCTTTCAAATTTTATGCGACCCCACTCGCCAGCCAATCGGAGTCGACTAGACTTTAGAAATTGTGACGTTATTTCGATCAGAAAGAAAGCGTCTCTGAGCCTAGCCGAGTGCGTACGGTGGTCTGTGTGCCTCTTCCACTCTTTTAAAGGCATTTGCAAAATCTTGATAAAAGAAACATCTCTTTTAAAACTAAAATCCTTTTACATTTTCTATCATCAGTTATTGATTTTTTCTTTAGAAAATCGAATTATTTGCGGCCCGACGATAGTTCGGCTCTTGCATGGCGGATTCATTTTCTAGAGGGTTATAGACGCCCGAAATCGGGGGACATACAGGGTTTGTTTTTGTTTATTAAAAACATGGACATTAAAAATTCGTTTGGATTTTGTTTGGAGAGAACGGACACCAATGATCTTTCCAACTACATGTATTTATCATTACGGGCACATTCCCAACTAAAGTCACCCTTGTGGGTGCTGACCAGTAGGCCCAAAATTGCCTTTACGACGGCCTTATCACGATTTGCATGCCCTCATTTTTTTGCTTTAGTATTAGAGCATTGGGCTATGAACTTGGAAGATTTGTAACAAAAGAAGGATGGAAGCCGTGAACAGGACTGCCAGCTCGTATTTGATATTGGGCTCTAAAATTGCTGTATTTCCCAATGGAGCGTAGGTATTCTTTTTCAAATTGGCGATGGGCTTCAAGACTTCTTTGGGGTGGTCATCTTTGGATAGAATTACTATTAAAAGTAATTGATTATTTCCCCCCAAATGAACAGGAAATGAAAGATGATAACATAATAAGCTTTAATTTGATGTGTCTCAAACACCTGGGAGAGCTGTATTTTTTATAACTTTTGGAAGTGGACGTGATTATTGAGGTCTATGGCAGTTTCGCATTAACGCAAGTAATGTCACAATAAATTATCAAAACACACTTCAATGCTCATTTCCGTGTGCCCTGAACAGCTTATAAAAACAAACATGATGCGAAGCAGATGTTTCAGATCCACAATGGACACAAATCAATCCATTTGTTTATTTGCTTATAAAACTGAATTTATTTACATCAGCTGTTACAAAAATCAATTTGTTAATGTTTTAAATGGAGTCCCCCCCCCCTTCCAACAAAAAATCCAAAAAATTACTACAAAGAATTTTGAACTTGATTCATTGTAAAAGTATAATAGACCTGTTGCAAGGTTAACTCTCCTGAGGGTAGATTTTGTTATTTAAATTCAGTGACAATGAAAATACCAAGTGTTTACTCATGCGCGCGCGTCAAGGAAGGAACAAAGACCTGCCCTCAAATGTGACGTCAGCTGTGAGAGGTCGATTATTATTTTAATCACATCGATTAGAAGATGTCTGAAATGATAGATTCAAGACTTTTACTGTGCAATTTTTGTCTCCAAAAATACAGTTTACTGCTTGATAGTATTTTTGTAAGGCTGTACCTTTAACAGTGATTATATAAAGTGAATTGCTATGTGCATTCACATGAAGACATAAGTGAATGAATGTGCATTGATGACATACATATTTATCTGGCATACTTGTAAGTAACACATCATAAACTACTTAGCTTATTTTAAAATACATGTAATAGCATGGGAAGTTAAAATGTTCTTAATTGGTTACCCAAATTTGTCAACCAAACTTTTGCCAATGGATGGAATTTCGCTTTTCCCCAGCAAATTAACATTCTTAAATGCGTAACTCATTGCATAAAAAAAAAAATCAATTTGTTGTTTTGGCAATTGATGGAATTTTGATTTTCCCCAGCAAATTAAAATTTTTGAATGCGTAACTCACTGCATATTCTGTAAAATCAATTTGCTGCAGTAGTAAAGAAATATGTCATTTTTACCCTTGATGTGAAAACATGGGTATCGATGCTGAAAACAAAATTGAAAACCAAATTATGCAAAAACAAACTCGGTGTCCAAATTACTCTTTGCTATGTTTCTTGCTCTTAGTCTCAATAAGAATCGATCAATATGGGTCACTGGAGTAAAAAACTACTCCTTCCAGATATTACATGGCACAGTCACATGACTCATGCATCAAGCTCGTTTTTTTTCATAATACAGAATCTGAGTGAAATGCTCAGCAATACTCCATGCAGAAGGTTTGACTAAAGACAAAAAATTACAAGTGCTGTTTTTTTGAATAATTTGCTATTTGATTCTAACCTAGGCCTGATCGAATCTTCAAATATTCGACATGCGCTTATCAAGTTTTACTAGCGCCAGCATAAACTGGCCACCAATTAGGATTTGCATGCGCCTGCTCATCAAAAATTGACAAAGAGCTTATTAAAATAATAATAAACAATGTATGTATCAATAAATTTTTTCGAGGTAGCTGGATGGCTGTTATTTGACAGATTTGGAAAAAAAAATGTGAGCAAATATTCTTTAAAGGGACACTGCGTCCTGGAACAGCCAAATTGGGCTACAAAACGCGCTTTGAACGACATGATGTTAATCGGAAAGAACATTTGAAAGTAGGATATAAACATCCACACAACTATCGTTTAAAAACTGGGCGTTTTTGTGTTATTCCTGTAGTATGCGTGTGAGAACAACTTTCGGGGTCTACTTTTGCGACCCCAAAAAGTTGAGTTGTTTGGGTGCTAGTTGTGATTTCATCCGTAAAGTGTTCGCCTTTTGCGGACGTGTAAGAAACCACATTTTGTGCATTGGTGATTGGTCACCGCTGTTTGCGAGCACGGTGCTGTGTACATGTTGTAATAAACGCACACAACGTGTATATTGTACATTGACTGAGATCGACAGGAAAAACGGATTCGTACTCCATCGTGTACTCCGTACCGATGTAAACAACTGGGGTTTTTTCTTTTCTCGGGAATGGTAAGACATTAGGTTGGTTTCCTTTCAACCAGATGTTTGAAATTGGATAAGTAAACAATCCAAAACATGAAATTTTCAGGGATTTCAGGACCTAGTGCCCCTTTAAGGAAGCTCTCACATCATGGGTGTAAAGTGGTTTCAACAAAAGTGTGGCATTTGACAAACAATACAACCATGCAACTAACAAGCTTCAAACAAAAACATTTTGGAGTTTTTCATTATCTCCTTGAGACTGCTCAGGTTTTTCAAATATTTGAATCAAAAAAGTGTTATTCGGTGAATGATCAAATATTTGATGTATTCAACACATTCCTAATAATACTGTTACATCATCCACTGTATATTTGGATCACCAACATCACCAAATTATCACTTTAGCCCGATGGGGTTACAAGACCGGCCCTATCATCTGTGAGCGCAGAGAAGCAGACCACACCATGGATCACTGCCTCAAATGCCCACTACTACCCCACCCACGCATCTCCAGAGACCTCGCGATCTACACCATTAACACAAAACATTGCGTGGAGAAATGGAAAACAACAATTTGATGCTTTGAAGATACGACAAGAAGAAGAAGAATCACTGAAACTGAGGTACAGCCTAACCAGGGATTGGCAAAACATGATCAGCGCTCATGTGGAAAATAAGTTCAAGTAATTTGGTTGCTGATGAAAGATTGCCGAAGGTCCAAAAAGTGTGGTCAATGGAACAAATCACTTTGCGGGAGAACCGAGCATCATCCTGTTGAAAAAGAACACAAAAGAAACGGCCACATTTAATGGAAATTTCAAATTATATTTCTTGTCAAAAGAAAATTCCTTGCAAAATTTATTTGGGGGGGGGGGGTGAAAGCTCTTTACATATTTCCAAAACAAACCTTTTTCCAATAAAATTGAGTCAATTTGAAAAAAATAATTATAACTCCTTTGCTTTTTTTCATGTGCTGTTTTCCTGCCAACACTACTTGAAAAAGGTTTATAAAAACCTTCAGGCTTCAAATGTTTGCCATATAATTAACATTCTCATTTCGCCATCAAAACCGGATATCAAATAAGATTGTTAAGTACATAGTTCAAGAAACAGGAATATCTTTTACTGACAGTTCTACCCCACTCCCAACCCCCCCCCCCCCCCAAAAAAAAACAACACTGACAACAATTGCCCATGTTCTTCTTTCCAGTACAAATGTTTCTTGAAGAAAATATGAGACAAAGAGAGATTTGTATCTTACCATGAATTCCTGGCTTTGACTGCCTCTTTTCTCACAGTTCTTTTCTTGTCATCGAGTCTAGGTAAAAGACTTCTGGACACCTTCATTTTATGTGGGAAAAGCTGCAACAAAGAAAGAGAGGTAACAGTCTTTTCTCCAATTACGGTATCTCATTCCTTTCTTCTTTTTGCATGAATAGAGCGGTATTTAATTGCCAAATGCAAAATTAAATTTGATGTAAAATCATGCACACTGGTCATCACTGAGGGTATTTTGTTAAATTTACAGTAAGTGAAAGTGTGCCTGCAATTTGTACTGAACCTACTCATGGTATCACAGAGGAAAAAACTGTTCACGTACAAGACACATGGAGAAAAGTATCACTTAAATTTTCAAAAATCTGAACTAATTTGAACGATCAGAAAATGAAACCATCCTGCAATCACCCTCATTAATGGTTTTACTTTTGTCATTTTTCAAAATGGGCAAATTCAAATGGAGAGTTTGATTCTGGGTCTAAATGGGTCATTCCACCGGGTTGGGAAGCAGTGCATGTTACATCCATATATTTGGTTATACTATTAAAAGTATCAATGCATTCTAAACAGTTGCTCAACATAATATTTGTCTTAAGGTGTTTCAATACTTGCGAAAGTTTGAAATCATTTGAAAGTACTTTGACAAAAATATGAGCAAAATGTATTAATTCGGATGTAACATTGACACCGTGTCAATGTTACATCCAAATATTCTTTTTTTGCCATTTTTTACACGTATGTAAAATATTACCAAAACTGACTTGCATATTTACAACTGGAAACCTAAGCACCAAGAAAAACTTTTGTTTTGGTATAGTCAGGGTTCAAATATAGCAGAAACAATACCTCAAGTGTGGATGTAACGGTGTAAAAATCACTCAATGGAAGTGTGACTTTGGGTTTTACACCGTGTCAATATTACATCCACACAACCAAGCTATCATTTCTGCTCCATTTGATACCTGACTACCATAACAAAAGCTTTTCTTATTGTGTTGCATGTATTGTAAGAAGTACGCAAAGTGAATTTGGGTGATGTTTCGCAGAAATTAAAAAAAAAAGTACAAATGTCACATTTGGACGTAACACTGAGACGGTGTCAAGGTTACATCCAAAATGACATTTTTTGCTCATATTTTTGGCAAAATACATTGAAATCATTTCAAACTTTCTGCAGTCGTGAAACACCCAACAACAAATATTATGTAGAGCTACTGCTAGCAAGGCATTCCTGCTTTTCTTAATATGGTCATATGTCACACATTGTTCCCCAACCCGGTGGAATGACCCAAATAGGAAAAGGCTAAATAATCTTAGCAAATTCAGCAGCTGATTTTACTATGGCTCATCATTGGGTCACAGATGATAAGAATCTACTTGAGGAGATGCGATAATCAAACCACTCACTATATGATGCTCAAGGGTTGTCAGTTCACAGATGCACTTCAAGGCAACCATTCTTACTCTCTGCAGAAGTCAAAATAAGGTTTGTGGCATTAGGGCTAAGTTTTTCCAAAATTGTATTGGATGTAAACAATACAGTTGACACAATTTATTGTAAGGGAATAAATATGTGCTTGGCCAGTTTTAAACAAGTATGTTTAAAACCGGCTAGGGACCTGCACCCGATTTCATCAAACTCTTCGTAACTTACGATGCATCGCAGCGATGTGACGCGTCGTATCTCTACGATGCGTTGCAGCTGAGACGCGTCCGGCGATCCATTTCACAAAACATGTCGTAAATGCGACGCGTCGTAGGTGTATTTATAGCACAACTCAGTGACTGTTTTATGTATTTAGTCAGCGTACAGTAAATAGTCGTCTGATATTCAACAAAGAGTCGTCGGATCTCAGCTCAAAATTTGTTAAAACGTAAAACAAAATGGCGGCCGTGCGATGCAATTTTGACGGAAAACAAGCTCTCAGTGGACTGTATAGCTACTTTGAAATTTCAACTGCAATATTCCAGTCTAATTCATAATTATTCAATGAATTGTCTATTTACAACTTTACACACATTGCCTTGGTATTATGATCTCGTTTTTGTCATGTTTATGGCATTAAACTGGCTGTTCTTATTTTGCGATGACCACTAGACACGTCGTAACTTGCGACGTGTTTTAAGCCGTTGTCAAGGAACTTACGATGCGTTCAACACATCGCAACTTTCGTGAAATGGCTGATACGACGCGTCGCGAGTTGCCGTAACTCGAGTTGCGACGCGTCGCAGCGCTTCGTGAAATCGGGTGCTGGACGCCAAAAGCGAGGGCCATTATCCGTGACCAGGCCCCCAGCCGGATTTTAACGTACTCGTTTAATACCAGCCAAGCACATATATTTATTCCCATTCATAAATCAGGCATGCAACTAGGAATTTAGAAAAAAACGAGGAAATTCCAAATCACCCAAGACTTGGTACAGTGTTTTTCAATTTGTAATGGCATTCATGAGGAGTAAAAAACGAGGATATCAGCGGATCCGAGGAAAAGTTGCATGCCTGATAAATACATTTTCTTGGTGAAAAAGTAAAAAGAAGTCGAATATTCACAATTTTTTTCCCAACAATTTTACCTCGTGTTCTGTGAAACACCTCTCTGACCATGACTATGGTATGTGCCTTGCCCACGTAGTGCTAAAAATCTCTACTATTGAGAATGGTACGCACAGCAGTACTGCGCAATGTGGCGCAGACCATCCGGAGTTTCATCAGCGGTTTAAAACCACCCACGTGACGGGCTATCGAACAATCTGATTCGTTAGTGTGACGTCGCTTCAGTTTAAACCCCGCCCACTGCCCTTTAAGTACCACTGGAACCAGAAGTTAACGCAACTTACGTGTTTATTCAATGGGCGCTAGTAATCAGTGGTGCAAGTGCGTGTACGACCTTTTTACTAACGAATCGGAGAGGAATAGGTAAACTGTCTTAGGTATTTATGAATATATATGCAATTAAAAGGGGCGGTCCAAACTTTTCAGCGTACACAGAAGAAAACATTGCGGTTCAATTGTTACAGTGTTTAACTCATGCGTCATGGTAGGTGTGTTTGAACTTATGACGCTTGTGTTCTTAACCAGGGCACTTTACAATAAATTGCCTCTCCCCGCCCAGGAGTAAAAATGTGTGCGTGTATGGTATAGAATCCAGATTGCATTGATCTTGAGCTGCTGAAGAGATATGGTCTCAAAGCTGAATGAACAGGGATAATAATTTGTGAAGCACGTTGAGACCGTTGGTAAAAAAAGCAATATAAGCACAATAATACGATTATTATTAACTCTGATTTTTGAATCCTCAGCATCAACTTAAACTGAAAAAAATTGGGCATTTTATTTTCCCCGAATTTTAGCTATGCAGACTCGTGTCAATATGGACTGATCTGGTTTTGGCAGTGAGCCCTAACCACATTTTGGATTGTGTACATTTCTCACAGTGCTGGTCACTAAGTTTGACCGAGCTATCACGGTCACTTGACGAGAAGTCATGATCTGATTGGTCAATGCACACTGTTAAATTAAGCGGCAAGGAATGCAATTTGATTGTTAACTCACCATAGAAGCTTCGTAGCCTGACAGCCTCAGCAGCTCCGGCAACAATGAATCCACGTACTGTGCGATGATGCCCGGTGCGTCGTGTGTTAACAGCGCCAACCTCTCCAGGACTGACTGATAGAGGGCACTGTCCTCCTGGTGGAGGGACTGGATGAGGAGGGGCATGAGAGGGGGCAGTTCGCTCAGAAGGACCTGGCGGGGAACAAAGTGGAGGAGGTGGGAGAGACCTAGGAGGTAGTTCTTCTTGTTTCCTGCGAAAAAGAAGAAAATGGAAAATACATAACTGAGGCAAGTATTAAAGACTGTTAAATTTTTACTGAATTAACAAAAAAGGCTTACACCAAAAATAAAAATGTTCTTACAAAACTGCCCTGCTGGTTTAGAGTCGCAAGAGAAGCAATTCTGATAAATACATTGTTATACACATTCGTTTCTTTTCTTATATCAGCCATTTTTAAGCACACTGTTCATCAGGTGCCCAGTACTGGCAAAATCACTGCCAGCTATACGGTTTGTTAGTGTAACGTCAGTTCAGTTATAGGAACCATTGGAACTGGAAGTTAACGCAACTTGAGCGTTTATCCAATGGGCGCTAGTAATCAGAGGTGCGCGTGCGTGTATGACGTTTTTACTAACGAACCAGATTGATCAATACAACTGCTCTGTAATCATGATTCTTAAACTTGCGGGCACGAAGTTTAATTACTGGGGCCCTCAGTGGGTGTACAGTGATTCTGAAACTGGATTAGTATGTTGACTCGGTGCTAGAACAGTAGATGATCTCTTCTAAAATCTTCTTGGGCGGTATACATTGCCTGCATGCATTGGTTTACCCCCATGTGGCACAAAGTACACACGATTGATATAATTCCAAATGTGCACCAACTAGCATCATCTCTGCGCGAGTGACAGGCGCATGCCAGCAGTGTGATCACCAGTCCCTTCTTATTCTCTCTTTGTAACAGAGTAAGAAGGGTACTTCAGTAATTGAAATATCCACTTTACTGTTGAACTGCGTCCAGCAATTTTAAGTCGTTTAGGTAATATATTTTTAAATATCAACTTAAATTGTACCTTATGAAATATATTCTATGTGATCCTACTCGTAGCCCATTACTCATAACTTTGTTTGATGCTTAAAAATATAATTATTTTCTGTAATAGTTTGTCTGTTTTGTGTAATGGCATATCTGATACGAGCTATGCTTTCTAAGGTTTTTGTTTTTGCAATTAAGACAAAATAAATGTGTGTGATCATTCTGAGACCGAACTAGGCCAGCGATCAATTTTTTTTCACACACTGCTAATCATCCTCAATTCTACAAATGCTTCAGAAGTCTTCTTTGGCCAGTAAAAAGTTCATGTGTGATGATGTTTCCCATATAATATAAGTGACAGTGAAAGATAACGTTCTTGTACAGTACTCTGTATATAACTTACAGCAAAACCCATTTTTCATTTAAGGGTAATTTTTTTTTTTTTGATACGGGCGCTGTTTTGCTGCTGCCACACTTGGGGGGTTGCTCCACAAAATGCTCAAGTATTGTGCTGTTTTCATGGTGCTTATCATCTCAATCTGTCCATCAAAGTGAAGTGCATGGTGTAGCCCATCTAGTAGACAATTCTGGATAACGGATACTTACTCCAAAAAGAGACATTTACAGGATCTGTTTTTCTCCTTGGATATCCAGAACCCTAGTCCACAGTGCTTTATTGTCTGCTCCAGTGATTCAATACAATAGGGCCTGTGGCTAAGTCTATGGATCTACAGCCACTTGTACAGAAGAGACAACAATGGCCTCTATTCACAGGGACCACACTATCAATAGAACAGACTATGCATGCACAAGCCAAATGCATGTACACTGTGTACATGCACATGTACTGTACTCAAGATTACAACTCATTGCTCTGAGATCCTGTGCAAGTAAAATATTGCCCCAAGGCCAGTTTAATGCTGCAAAGAAACTTGGCATCCTCCGGTCCAGAGGTAGACGAGCGGGTTCCCACTTTCAGAGATGTAAGGCTGTTGTGGAACAGAAAAGTAAGATCACACATTTTCCTTCCACAATAAATACCCAGGATCACGATAGTACATCTGCACGCAGTAATGGTGATCCTTCTACCGAAGTCCTTCCATTACCCTCTGCATCACTACTCTATCCTTGTGGCAGGTGCAACCAGGAAGTGCTCGACCATCATCACGCCGTTGCATGTGACCATTGCAGTGCCTGGTTTCACTGTGCTTGCATGGGAATATCAGATAAACGTTACAGGAACCTATGTGAAGACAGTAAATTGCCATGGCAATGCGGATGTGACTCCCAAAACGTTTCATCATCTGCGCCAACTTCTGTTTCCATTGTCAATTCTTCCAACTTGTTTGACACACTACAGACTCCAGATCGTTCTGGGACCGTCTACTCCACAAATTCACCTGTCCCTCATTGTAATGATAGACCAATTCATACTTCAACGCCATCTAAATCCAAGCCAAGCAGAAACATGGAGAAGAAAAAGTTACTTGGTCTGCAAATTAACTGCAATGGGCTCAAAGGGGAAAACAGCAAACTAAAGTTCGGAGCTGCAGTAACACAACACCAGCCAGACATCATTTTTGGTTGTGAATCCAAGCTGGATGATAGCATTCCTACCTACTCGGTGTTCTCTGAGAAATACGAGGTATACAGAAAGGACCGTTCAGCTCATGGTGGGGGTGTCTTTCTAGCAGTCAGAAATGACATCATTGTTCTTGAAAGGCCGGAATTCGATTCCGACTCAGAAGTGATTTGGGCATCAGTACAATTTGCTAATGGTTGTGTTTACATCGGTAGCTTCTATCGTCCACCGAATGCCACAAATATTATTTTGGATCGTGTACAAGACAGCCTCAGTAAGATCCTCTCCAAGCACAAAAACCTTCCCAACATTATCTTGGCTGGTGATTGGAATTTCCCAGATATTGACTGGAAAAATATGGAGACAACAAACATGCAGACTCAAGCACAGCACAACAGGTTCCTCACCTTCCTCAACGAAAATGGCCTAGTCCAACTAACAAAGGGCATAACTAGGCCAAGATCAGGATCCATACTCGACCTTGTCCTAACTTCAAATCCTGAGATAGTTGACAATGTGAGAGTGAAGCCTGGTATAAGTGACCATGACATTGTCCTCTTTGACATAAACATGACACCAAAGTCACAGAAAAAGCCCCGGCGCACAATCTATAAGTATGATAAAGCAGATCAACACTTAGTCAAGAAGAAACTGGCAGATGCATCAAGGGAATACTTCTCTGGAGTCCCAGACGACTCACCAATAGAGGACAACTGGAAATTCTTCATTCAAGCCATCACCGATGCCATGACGCTTATTCCCCATTTTACGGACAAAGGGAAACCTAGCCACCCCTACATCACCCAGAAAATCATCAAACAGATGAATAAACGAGACAGGTTGTACAAGAAAACAAGAAAAAACATGAACCCAGAAACATGGGTCAGGTACAAATCCAAGCGAAATGAAGTTCAGAGGATGCAGAAAAATGCACATAACATCTACATGAACAACGTCATAGGAAGCAGCCTCAAGACAGATGGAAAGAAGTTCTGGTCTTTCATAAGGTCACAGAAGAGGGAATCCCTTGGAATCCCCACTCTCAGGGTGGCTGATAAAATCTATGCTACAGATATGGAGAAGGCTACAGGCCTTAACGATCAGTTCGCCTCTGTCTTCACCCATGAGAGTGACTCTGATGATCTCCCAGACAAAGGTCCGTCATCCTATATCCCAATAGAGGATCTAACAGTTAGGCAAAGTGGAGTGTTGAAACAGCTCAAACAGCTAAAAACCAACAAGGCTAGTGGTCCTGATGAGATCCCGGCTCGTATGCTCCATGACTACGCTGATGAAATTGCACCCATTCTAACTCACATCTTCCAGCAGTCTTACTCTACTGGTGAGCTACCATCTGATTGGCGTAAGGCTCGTGTTGTAGGTATCTACAAGAAGGGCAGCAAGAGTGATCCAGCAAATTATCGCCCTGTTTCCTTGACATGCATATGTTGTAAAATCATGGAGCACATAGTCCTGAGCCACATGGCTAAGTACCTTGCTGCAAATAACATCATCATCGACAACCAACATGGTTTCCGTGAGAAATTGTCGTGCGAAACACAACTCATACAAGCCGTTGATGACTGGGCCTTTAATATCAACAACAAACATCAGACGGACGTCTTGTTTCTAGACTTTAGCAAGGCCTTTGACAGAGTGGCTCATCGCAAGTTGTTGCACAAGCTTGAATACTACGGCATCATAGGCAGAACCAAAGCATGGATCCAAGGTTTCTTGAGTGGTAGGACCCAGCAAGTTGCAGTCAATGGTACCCTGTCTGCACCTGCAGATGTCATATCTGGAGTCCCCCAAGGCTCTGTACTTGGCCCAGCCCTGTTTCTTTTGTACATCAATGACATCAGTGAAGGTGTTCTGTCAACAATGAGGCTTTTTGCTGATGATAGTGCAATCTACAGGTGCATCAAGTCTCGTAGAGATCTTGAGACTCTCCAAGCGGATCTCCAGGCGGTCTTTGAATGGGCTCAGAGATGGGACATGAGTTTCAACATCACAAAATGTTGCCACCTCTGCATCACCCTGAAGAAGAAAAAGCTTGAACACACCTTTACAATCTCTGGCCAGGCCATCCCGCATGAGAAGAAATGCAAATACCTTGGAGTCACCATCGCTGATAACCTAAGCTGGAACACTCAGGCAGAAGCAGTCAGAGCCAAGGCTTCAAGATCGCTTGGGCTGATCAGACGCACCCTTGGAAAATGCAGCAGGGAGGTCAAGGAGACAGCATATAACACTCTAGTAAGACCACAACTTGAATTTGCCACAAGTGCATGGAACCCATACACAATCCGCAACATCAGAATAGTTGAGAGTGTCCAACGCCAATCGGCACGTTTTGTCAGGAAGGACTACCACCGGGAATCGAGTGTGTCTGACATGCTGACATCACTGGGATGGGACACCCTACATGACAGACGTCTCCTCCATCAGGTTGAACTCCTCTACAAAATTCAACATGGCCAAGTAAATATAACTACTCCGCCGAACATTGTCCATAACACACGATCAAGCCGACACAGCCAGACCAATCAACATAACCTCATCTACAGGCAACCACTCACCAGAGTTGACTGCTACCTCTATAGCCCTTTCCCAAGAGCTGTTCGGATTTGGAACAGGCTACCAGTGGCTGCGGTTACTGCGACCACTTTGAAAGAGTTCCAGACAGAAGCTCTCCCAACTATAAGAGGGATGGAGCTACCAGTTGTATCTCTCAGGACAAATTGACAATACCACCATCCGATAAGCACCCTAATAGCACACACAAAGAGCACACATGGAATTGCAACCCACCCTCTCCAGGACAGCAGCAATGCTTTTAGGAGAGTACTCTAATGCAATGCAAGATGACACCATTTGCAAACAATCAAAAATAAAACTGCCAAAAATATCATGAAATAACCTACATGATTGTTAAGTTAATAATAGGATCAAACATCCTGTGAAATCATTGCGCCCAGTATGCTGTCATTTTTTAAAACAGAGGAATTGTCATCATTTCCTCCCGATGGTTAGGACCAAACCAACAGACTTTTAATGGAAACCTATGCTTTGCGTAGAGAAAATAAGGATGCTGTTTCAGAGTTTTCTCACAAAGTACAATGTATATCTACTGAGCTGAAATTTCCACTGATGGGTTTCAAAAACCTGCTTCAGATTTATTGTTTTGTTGTCCTTTGAATTGGCAAAAACACATACTTTTTGGCAAATGGTGTCCATTACCTTTCAAAACTGCGAATGTGTGCTAATCTATTACATACTTCTGGTCTAATAACATTTTAGGTACTAGCACTGTTGTCTAGCGGATTTTTATATGAACTTTGAGCCCTGATAATTTGTTCACGGAACCCATAAGAAAGTTCTCTAGTACCTGATGTTGTGTTACCATATCCATCGATGATTCCGGATAGGAGCTGGAGAAACAATCGCTGGCGGTACATCAACTTGACGTCAGCATGCGAGGATGGACTCAGGACGTCGTTGCTGTCGCTCAGGATGAGGTGCAGTCCCTCGGCGGCTTGGGTACCCAGCGTGTCGTCCTCGAACAAAGCCAGGAGGTGTGATGCGAGTTGGTTACAGGAGGGGTGGGACCTGAGCAGTAGGGATTTGGTCAGCTGTGGTTGAAAGAAAACCAGAGGACCTTCAGGGAAACTTTTCCTAGATGATAACTTTGCTTCCTCAACTGCTGGAAAACTATAACTGTGATCTTCTTAAGCTAATGAAATCCTCCCTCTTCAACTAAAAGAGGAAATCTTGATATAATTAATAGATTAATAATTTACAATTAAACCATTATTACCATGCACCTAGTCAGTTTCCCTTTGTGGTTTAGTTGAACATTTGTCAAAAAAAGCTGTAAAGTCTTTTGAGTGAGGTCCGTTTGCTATTTCCTGCATTTGCAGCATTGCTAACGTTGCTAGCATCGTGACTTTGGGCGTGAACCCTGGCTACATGGCGTATATGAGTTTATGGCTTCTGACTAGGGCCCCTTGAACAAGTGAATTTGGATCTGCATTAACTAGACGCTATGCCAAGTAATATTCTTTGTCCTTTTCATTTGCCATGCAAATTGGAAACTAAGACACATAACAACAAATTTTTTTTTAAAGGATTTCAGAGTTTTTACAGTGTTAACACCACACAACACAATTTAACCCTTTTGAGTTTACTGTGAACCCTTTTTATTTTCTTTCTAAATACATTTTATCTTGAAGCATATTACTGCAAAACTGAACCAAATAATTTGTTTTTCAAAGCTGAATAAAGAAATTGACTGGGTTTGCACCTGCGTCCTCTGGATTGCTGTTGCAACTGAGCTATCCAGCCCTATGTTGGCGGTTACCCAATTTGTCAATGTCTTTCACATTCATCCAGACATAGGACAGAACGTGAGTGGCTCCATCTCAAAAGGGGTCAAATTTCGCAGCTGGAACATCAAATCCTTAAAATTCAGGTCAAACTATTCTGACATTAAAAAGCTTATTTTTGTGACTTTACCCATATCCAGCAGGTCAGTGCTCTCTGTCTTGTCGTCTCCTCACTGTTGCTCGGTTGAAGTCTGGTTAACAAGTGCTCCTTAATAGGTTGGATATGTTGATCCAGCTCTGGTCCTGGGACAACAAAGCAACAAAAACCCGTATAAATGTGACCGACTGATAAACTAAATTAAAGTCTAACTGAATGTGGAATAAGTTCTAAAGCTAGAGGGTTACCACAGAGTTGCACGCACAAACGAGTGAATGGTGGACGAGGCTGTGACTGAATCAGGTGTTTCTGTGGCTAACGGCTGTGACTATTGCCATTATGATACCATGGTAAATAGCCACAGCCTTAGACTACAATGCCTTTATCAACACAGCCATACAGCTACTTTCCGAGATACACTTGAGGCGGGCTTAGGTGGCTCCAAAACTACCCGCCACACCAAAATCAGAAAGTCATGTGGGAAAAAGTAGCATATGCCTGCCAACCTTCTTTGAGACAGCCAAAGAGGCACGACTAATTTTATTCTAAAATGTGCACAAAACCATTGGCTCTTCGCGGAGCATCAGGCATCGTCGGCAATGCGTTTGAAGGTCTCTCCCAGTGGTCTCTCCTAGCTTTACCTTTCTTACCCAGGCATGCAACTGGGAACTTACAAAAAAAGAGGAAATTCAAATCTTTCCATGACTTTGTACAGTGTTTTTCTATTTTCAATGGCACAAATGGGAAGTCAAAAAAGAGGAAATCAGCTGATCCGAGGAAAAGTTGCATGCCTGTTACCGTTGAGGGGCTACATGTACTTGGGCACGGAGCCCATATTAGAAAATTCTGTACTGTAAGCATACTTCACGGGGGTAGCAAGGTATTTTGGCCTGTGTATCTCTGCATACATCCTGTAACTATTAACTGATTCTGTACTACGAGTGTTAGTTCAAAACTTCTATGTAAGCACAGAGTGACAAATTCAGAATTCAAGCAGAGCTGAGAATCTGGGCCTGATGCCAAGAAGCTGTTTACTACAAAATATTGCTTACCAAATATACGCGCTTGGCAAAATTCATTTGAGAACCAGTCACTCACAAGCAATATCAATTGCAGCGCAGTTTAGCTGGTAGCCTTATTCTACGAAACAAAACTTTTTCTGTGTTTAGAAGTTTTCCGGCTTGAAATTTTGGCTCCATGAAATGGCCCATGGGACAAATCTTACGTTAGTCGCGCCGCCTGACCACTACTTAAACGACTTTGCGATTGCACCTCCCCTCACCTAATGGAGGTCCTATCCTCTTTATTTCCTATCCCCTGATAGGATAGGACCTCAATTAGGTGAGGGGAGGTGCAATCGCAAAGTCGTTTAAGTAGTGGTCAGGCGGCGCGACTAACGTAAGATTTGTCCCATGGGTTTGGATTTTATTCCCCTTATACAGCCAGTGTGTGATAAGCGAGGTCGCTATCAACAAGATGAATCAAATCCAGTCTTGCCAATATGGGCAGCGCTACCCAGGAAATTCCAAGCATACCTCACGCGCGCTGCATTCAAGCTAATGCATGCGTGTAAGGTATGCTCAGAATTTCCTGGGAAGCGCTGCCAATATTGCCCAGACAAGATTTGATTGATCACGTTGATATAGAGACCTCCACCACCGCGGTAACTTAACTGCGTTTGTCATGGGACTGGCTGCAAAATAGGGGAACGAAAATCCAGACTTGGACCAAGACTAATCTTATGTAGGTGCTAAACACAGAAATTCAGCTAAGTTAGAAAACTACTTGCTTAGCAAAAACAGCCTACTGGCCAAAATGTCACAGGTTGGTTATATCTTGTTAACTGGTTCCCATCTGATTTTTTTGCAAAGCTTGAAATGTTGACTTATATTTTCTTAAAGTGGTCTACATCAGCTTAGATATATCCAACCAACCTGCGTGGAATTTGTTAAGAAGACCCGCCAGGCATTTTGCCGCTGTCGTACTAGTCAGCTCGTGGTCGCTGCTTGTGGCCATTGCCAGGAGACTGGTCAATAACTGCCACTGGTCAGGGACGGTCACTCCTCTCCGGACGGAGCAGACGCAGGCGGTCAGTAAAACGACCAGCTGGGTCTGTGGCCATGGGGAGTCAATCTGGATGGGCAAAAACAGAACAACTGGTTTCCAAGCTTTTGTATGTTTTGTGACAAGAAATGTGACAATAAATGCATTTCCTTTTTTCTGAAATTTGTCAAATCTGTGACACAATTTTTGTGATTCTACAGTATCTATTTCCACTAACTAGTCAAAGTACATACTTATTTCCAATGGGTCTAAAGAGACTTAGTCCCTTCACAATTACGTACAATTAGTGTAATCCTCCATTATAAGCAACTGCACCAAGTGGTGACCCCACAGTTGAATCGAACACAACACTGAGTGGAATGCATAGTCTAGCAACACTGTCTATAAAAAGCCCAATGTTCAAATTATTTCCGTAAAACTGTTAGAACTGGAAACGCCCTATTTTTAGGCTATAAAAGTAAATCATCTTTCATATGTCAACATCTTGGTAGTAGGAAAAAGAGAGTCTATTTAGCAGTTCTTTCATTCAATAAAACTGACAGTTTTTGTATTGTAAAGAAAAGTGGCTCCTTAAGTTGAAAATAAATCATAAACATAAAAATATACATAAGGGATATTACCTCTAAAGGCTTGAATACTGTATCATCATTTAAAATTTCAGAAGACATAATGCTGCTGAGGTTGTGCCGGTGAAACACCTCAATGTACTGTTGACAAAGTTCTGAGGCTAAACTGAAACAAAAATGCCAGGATCCAAAAAAGAAAGAAAGATAATTATACCAATTTTAAAAGGTAGCAAAAATCCCTCCTCAATAAACAAGGGAAAATAATATAAAGCCTACAAAAGTAAGAAGTTAACTAAAATATATTTTTAATCCATTTTTTGCCTCATAATGGATCCGCAGGTATGAGAGGATACTTTCAGTCACTGTGGGGGTATACCAAAAACCTGGCAAAATCACATACCAAAGTTTTCAAAAGTTAATAGCCTTCTCTAACAAAACTGTGTTCACGTATTTTCCACGTTAAAACTTTGTTCCTTTACAATGAACTGCCTTAGCTGCGCTATTGCGGCAGCCATTTTGTGTTATTTTGTGCAACATTACCTGTTCCGCTTTAAGTGCAATGCGTACACAACATTTTTCTACTCTCTAGAGTGACCCACATGAACGCAGCCCATAAAGCCGTTCTCGGGTTGACCTTGTTACGACACAGGTCAGTCGGTGACTGACTTTTCAGGATCAAGCTGCGCCTGAGCTATGACTGTCTGGAACATGTTAGTCGTAGATTTATTGTGACCTGCGTGCAGCTGTGATGATATTGACACGATCGGCATCAGTCAGTGCAAGAGTACAACAATTTCAACTTTTGCGTCGCGACGGAACGTGGTTGCGACAGATGAGAATCAATCCCAGTCGACCTGGTGAGGTTACGTCATGCGCACATCCAGATCATCATCAAATTTTATTGTGAATCGTTGATGTGTCATAGGTCACATCAGCATGGTTGCGATTATTCTGTGCCCAGATGGCGCTTGTTCCGTGATAATCACACGATTTCTCAGGTTTGTGACCTGCACGTGGCAGAAGTTAGCTGAGAACCAATTCCAAGTAATATACATCATATGACATTTGATTTGGTTTGGTAACTGCAGGTCACCAGAGTTACATTAATGACTAGAGCGTTAACTCCTCACTCTAATGCACGGAGATACTTTGAAGCTGTCCTGGGCACAGACATTTTGAATTCATGGTCGTATTTGCAAGTGTACTCCACTGCAACGCACATGTATATACTTAAGCGCATCATGACGGTTAAAAAATCATTGCAAAATCATCTGCAGAGGATACATATATGCGAACTTGAGTTGTTTGCGCAGAGCAAAATGAAAAGCTCATTTACTGATTGTGGATTTCGGTTTTGGACGTATCGGCTTCGATAACACACCTGCAAAGAATACAAATGCAAATATGCAAATAGCCGTACGAAAGACGTACACAATTTGGAGTTTTCCTTTGGTTTGTGGACAAACATGGATGCGCCCAGCAGTCACCACTTTGTACATCGAGTAAGTGCTCTAGTAATTTAATGTAGCTCTATGGTCACCACTGAGCAAGTTCGGGTGAGGACCATCAGTCGACTAGTGGTTGATTTGTGACGTGACTTACGCCTTTGCACTAGCAATGTCGAATGCATCTAGTAAAATGATGGTCAAAATGTCTTCACAAAACCTCCTCTGCACACGGCTATAAGTAACCAGCAATGGAACCGTGCCCCATCGTCCGGTTCCAAATCAGCCTCGAATCCATGGGCGCGTGCGCGTTCCTTGCACTAACCCCTGGCTGTGATGTACACGTAAACGATGCTGACTGGCTATTCAGAGCGTACTCCGCGCGCATTTCGTAGATTGCACGCCGGGCGTGCCCATAATGCGCTCGCGTGCTTTGCACGTCACGTCACGAAAATTTTTCAAAACTGCACGATGCCTGTACGATGCCTGTACGATATGGATAATGGCAGCCTCGTTTTTCGCTTAAAATACCCTGTATCTTCTGTTGTAAAGGGACGAAAGAGGTACGTACATTAAATACAAATCCTTGCTAAATAACGCGACGTCCAAAGCTTATATTTGAAAGGACTGATTCTTCAAAAACACAGCTTTCAACATTTCAAAGACGGCGTCGCACGTAAAACGGATAAACTGCAGCCCTAATTATAATGTGCCATATCTTGACACATTTAAATGAGACAAGTCCAGGGGTTGAGATCGCGCAAGGCATGATGGGAAACAACATGGCACAGCAAGATCTCGTACCCACAGGAACGAAGTTGGTTCCAAATAGTCACCTAGCGAGGCCCACCATCCTTCGTTTGAGTGAAGTTAGTCGAACTATGGTTAACTTTAGTTTTCACCCCAAATTGCTCACAGGTGAGAGGCACAGCTAGTGCTGCTACCGAATCCCACACATTGGTATTTTTTTTTCAAATCCTACCTCAAATCAAGACACTGCACTACATTCCTCACAATGGCTGCTAGTAGCACAATGACCTCCTCCCTGCATAGCAACCGGCTGTTACCGACCTCTGACCTTGTATCCAAGGCAGCCATGACGGACATGCGGAGGATCTGGGGCAAGAGCTTCTGGTAGAAGAAGCTGAGGTTTGTAGGGTCTGTCCTGCTTTTTGTCACGACGGTCAGGATGCTTTGGAGCGTTGAAACACACTCTTCTGCTTTTGATGAGGTATCACCTATAAATAGATATCTTGGATATTACCAGGGCATGTGTGTTCCAGGGGCCTTCCTTCATTTGATTCCCTGACTGCACATAAACGCAATAATTAAATTCCCAGTGCCCCTAAAGTTCCCCTTCACCCCCCCCCACACAATATTGCTCCACCTCATTTTTTCAAAAGTGATTTAACCGAAAGAGTAGTGCAGATGATTAGTTTCAAATCAACGCTTCTAATTCCCTTCCCCCTGCGGATTTGTGAAATGTGAATATGACAGATAAGGAAAAGGGCAACCCCTAGTGTCAAATGAGGTGCAGGCACAACTCCCCCCCCCCCTGTATCGACTGACATCTTAAAAATGTGGAAAAATTTGGTTCTGGATCCACCCTTGGTCCCCCCACAAAATGTTGATCTCTCCTGCCCTGCTCCCCTCTTCCCACCTCCCTCCCACCACTGCAAAAACCAGGCAACGCCACTTGTAGGCAACCATTCATATTCCCAAATTGCTCAGTCAACAAATTAATATTTGACCCAAAATTTCCAACACGTGTAATGTAAAACAAACATGACTGTACGTACTATTACTAAGAGATTGAAGGTGAACCATAAACCTGTCCACTATGCATTCCACTAACGCTGGTTGTGTTGCTAGGGCGGCCATGCTGTTTAGAATGGAATGATGGGATACATGTGACACTGCTTGTCTGTCCCCCTCTGCATCCACTTCCATTGGTTCTACGGAGTGAAAAAGGAGGGAAACGCAAATTACTAAGCATTCTCAGATCAGCCTTTTTTTACTGCTCATGAATTGCATTAACCCTAACCAACCCAAACTTTCAAAATCCTATTGCATGTTTTGTTGGAATCTGTTGGAGTGAGTACTGCAGTAGTAAACTGATTGTGCTTTATATGGGGTCAGCTAGGCATACCACCATAATCAGAGTCTGGCAGTTTGGGTGTATTAGTTGCCACATGGTGTTGGATTGCGAAAGAGTGAGAAAGGTTCCTATTAAATCACTCAAGGGGGCTAGGGTTAATGTTCCAACATTCAAATCACTTTCAAGCACAGTTTTTAGTGAGGCTTACTGGACCTCATCTTGATCCGGACTCTGGCCTCAGGTTCCATGGCTTCAGATTTCATGATTTCAGATCCCTTTGATTGGTTACAACCATTTCTGAATTCGGGAAAGTCAACTCTTAAATAATAATAATGATGGGTATTTATATAGCGCTTTCAACTATTAGATCAAGGTGTTTCACATTATTATTACCCCTCATCATTGGGCCATTAAAACATTCCTCATGCCATCTCAGCTCGATGATCATACAGCCATTATTCAGATACAAACAGGTATTATACAAACACAACAACCATCTCTGCCCTCACAGGTATCCATTTACTCCTTGGTGGGGAGAAGCAATGAGTGACAAAGTGCCTTACCCAAGGACACACGCACCGCATTCGAATCCACAACCTGCAGAGCCACCCAATTAGGCCACAGAACTCCATTTATTCCAATCATATTATACAAGCAAAAGGTTCAGAGTTGCAGTTTGATTTGAACAGGATAAATGATCCTGGAACAAGTGATGAAGCCAAGGTTTTTGAAATGGCCATACATTACTGATTATGGCAAAAACAGATTCCTCGATCAAGCCTGTCTGTTTGTACCTGTGTTCAACTGCTCCAGTAATGCTGGTAGAACTTTGCCTTCGGTGACTGATGGGTGATGGGTGGCTATGTGAATCAAAGCATTGACACTCTCTTGCCTGGGTGACAGATACACATGAAACTGAACATCAGATACAGCCTTTTGTTTGCTTTTGTTCCAGAAAGATGCTTATACATAACTAGAAATCAACTTAGAAACCGTTAACTTTTATGTTGTAAACAACTGACCTTAAATGACTGTCACCCTCTGACAGGAAAGTTTTGGTCATATGTTCCGCTACCAGGACAACATCATCATCCTTGAGGAGCCCCTTGGTCTCTGCCAAGAGGCCCAATCCCGCCGCTGACACCGATTTAAGAGAAGTGTTTGTTTCCGACAGCATGGATATGAGAATGGAGAGGATTGCATCCTTGTGGAGGGAGACAGGATTAGGGAAGTCAGTGTAGGGAAAGGCCAAGGAAACCCGGATAAATGCCTGGAGAATGGAGATAATACTCTGCCTCTGCTTTGCCTGATGTTAAAAAGAAAATAAACGAAGAGAACATATCTTTATTGCACTGCAAGCACCAATTTAAAAACACAAGAGTGAATATCTGAAATTTGACACAGGAAGGGAATCCAAAGGTCTTGCACACTCTCATTATATGCCTCCCATGGCAAAACTAAAGACACATTCCAACAACGAATGGAAAATGTAAAAGAATACTGTACACTCGGCTTTTAACACCTACAAGTTTTTAATTACTAAAAGAAAAAATATGGTTCTGCTCTACACTTTTCCACAACTGGAATTCAATTATTTTGCTCAATTTTTTCAAAAAATCTTTGCTCAATTTTTCTAAAAATACTGATCGCACTTTAGGGATTTTGAATTCTGACAATGTATGGCCAGAGAAATGTTGTACTCTTTTGCACCTTTTCTGTCACTTCAGACTTTGTATGTAATCAGCGCCCTTGTTTGTTTGTTTGATGGGCTGTTTGTTTGTGTTTTTTTCAAATTTATGTCATCATTTTAGAAGCAGCCGAATTTACAGTGAATAACAAAGAAGATTTGGGAACAATGTTTGTTTCCAAGTTGATCACCAATTGATTGTTGATGGCCATGTCGGCCCATTTTTACCTGAGGATGTTTGTTAAATTGGTCAAGTAACAAGGGCAGAGTGTACGCTAGGATCTTGCTACAGACAGCCTCGGACGAGCTGGCCACAGCTTGCAGCAGACGACAGCTGGGATGGATGAATCTCATATCAGGCTCATTGATGTGCTTCCGCGATTCTGGAGGTAACGGTCAAAGAGAAGGGATTATGAAATGTGATCTGATCCTGCAAACTGAGTCTAAGGCCGCCCTCAGGTCAACCTTGCAACGACATAGAGCAGTCGGCGACTGACTTTTCATGATCAAGCTGTGCCTGAGATATGACCGTCGGGATCATATCAGTCACCGATTTTTTGCAACCTGAGTGTAATTGCGATGACATTATGACGATTGGTATCAGTTGGTGCTAAAAGAACATCAACAGTCGTAGGAGTAGAACCTAGCACTCTAGGTACTGTGGCTCCCAAACCTCAAGAAACTTTTGCCCATACACACATCCCAGTACAAATGGTTCCTTCCTGCATGGTTAGTGCAGAATCCAGGCACTCGATCACTGTACACTCACCAGGTCCCCTTCAATGGAGAAACCATTGTACAAGCTATTGTACAAAGCAACTGTCATGTGAGGGATTATCTGAACAACAGCTGAATAATCTGCTGAATCCAAAAAGTCTACTGGCCTCTTGTTCCAGTGTTGTATTCGAGTCCATCACAAGTCTTTTCACAAGTCCTTTCTCAAGTCCTTTCATAAAGCCAGTCACAAGTAACAGGATGAACAATGACAAAGGAACGCTTTTGTAACAGTTCATTAAAATAGCTAGTGACTTGAATTGAGACTGGAAGACTTGTGACGGACTTGCAGGGACTTGCAGGGACTCAAATACAACACTATCTTGTTCTGAGGAAAAGAAACATCCACTCGCACTTACCCTTGAGGATGTCATCCAGGAAGCAGTCCAGAGAGAACATGGCCCCCTCTTCTTTTCTGTCATCAGACACTGCCTTGACTACACAACACAGGCATCCCAAGGCAGCCTGTTCACCCTCCTGGCTCAAGGACTGAAATACCTAGCAACAAACAAAAATGTACGGAATACCAGGCATGGGCAATTGCAGCGTTATGTAAAGTCCGTGACAGAGCTTTTAAGAGCTCAGTGAATAAACCTAAAAATGTATTTTTCAAATCTTATACATCCATTATCTAGTAATGGCCAAGAAAATTACAGACTAGGAGATTAAGATCATTCCTATGAATTAATATTAAGACGTCATTGCTATTGAAACTGGCTCTGTTACGGACATTACACTTCCTTTCTCAATGCTGGAATAGTTCATATTCAAATGCGGAAAAACCGTACACAATAGATAATGGGGAAAAATTGTGGACATTTCCAAATGGTTTTCATTTTGCATTCTTCTCCATTTTAACCTTTTTTTGTGAAGATGGTTTCGTTTAGCAATGCTTCAAAATGCATTTTGTTTCTGTGGTAATGCAAATAAGCAAAGAAGATCAAATATACAATCAGACATTCCCATTTTTTTGATCTTCCTCGTTCAAGGACCCAGAGGTATAAACAGTTACTGATTCCATTCATGGTCACACTGTTGAATAATAATTCTTGATGTGTAAGTTGTAGTAAAAATTTGTTCGTGATCCAAATTTTCCTGTTTTATTTTGTATTACTGTTTTACTCTTGCATAAATTTGTTTTTAACTTGTAAATTGGACATTGTTAGTCTTTTGACTTGCTGTTTGATAATTTTTGTGTAATAAAACGTAATGAATGAATGAATGAATGAATGAATGAACATGTCCATGGGCGTTGCCAGGATTTTTTCTAGAGGGGGGCAAAACATATTTTTTTCCAAAGAAATTCTTGTATTTCTCAACAAATTCTCGATTTATCAGTTTTAGAGGGGGGCAGGGACATTCCCCCCCCCCCCAACTCATTAAATTTACACCACTATGACCTCGCGCCTCTTTTTCTTTTCTTTTTTTCTCTTTTTTTTCTTCCTTTTTTGGTGCTTTTCCCGGGGGGGGGGGGGGGGAAACATGTCTTACATACATGTGTGAAATTTTGAACTGGTGTTTCATATCCACCTACCTCCTTCCTACAGTAAGACCAGACGGCCTCCAGGTAGTCTTTGAGATGTTTGGCACCGTATACCGAAGCACACGCTGCCAGGGTCTCAAAGGCATCAATCTTGGCTCCCTGTAACTGGGAGGAGAGCTTCTCCATCAACAACGGCAGACAGAACTGTGAATTGCGAATGGTAAAACAAGGAGCAAATAGTCATTAACGGGAAATGTTTATTCCAAATAATTCCACTTTTTGGGGGCTTAATATGCGTTAAATAATAATAACAACTATGGGAAACGGTACCTAAGGGAGACATTCCCATAGGGTTGTGCACAATTTGTTTCCTACCTAAATGACCCCTTCCCCCAATTTTCCCTTATCCTACCCCCACAAATTTTTGGTACATTTATGCTTTGGACTATGAGCAATCAATCTACCGGTAGCCATTTGTGACATTAAAATTTTGTCTCTATTAATAGAAATTGTGACATTAGGGAGACATTGAAATGTCTCCCCAAATGTATGCTGTCTCACTAAGGTTTAACTTATGACGAAAAAATGTACCCTTACGGGTACATTAACAAAAATTATATGTATTTATAGGTTTTCCCGGCCAATTTCCTAAAATGTTCATTCACTTCTGAAAATCGGTCATTCATTTTCGTCTGAATTTGAGAATCATTCTGAACAGGCGTTTCATTTTTGCTACCAGAGCATTCGATATCCATTTCAGTTCATTCAATTAAGTGATTGAGCAGCACCTTTCGTTTATGTCTATTCAGATTCATTTACAAGACTTCTTTTTCCATTTGAGAGGGAGATTTCAAACATTCACCATTCTATTTCACTTTTAGTTTAATGCCATCGGCACCAGATACAATTAGGGGTTTCTTTTTCATTAACCGTCAATCAAATTAGCTGTACCTGAAATCAATTTAGAAAAGGTATGCTTGCGTAAATAAATGCACACTAACCTAATTGGCCATCCGTATCTCAAAACTGAATGCACGGACAATGAAAATGATTGAAGTTTCGTAAAATTGAAATGGGATTAAAGACATGTATTCAAATTTAGACGAACCTGAATGACTGATTTCCAGAAGTGAATAAACATTTCAGAATATTGGCCGGGAAAACCTATATTATGTGCAAATATCCAACAGTATTGGTGCTCGAGTTGCTACATCATTATTATCCAGCTCACTGGGCCAATGAAACATTCCGAAGACAATCTCAGCTCCCTGGGGAGCATACAGCTCAATGCTGCCAATTTTGGTGCAAAGCAGCTACAATCAATCACAGCATATCCTCTCTGCCCTCACAGGTTTCAATTTACTCCTAGGTTGGGAAATGCAATGAGTGACAAAAAGTGCCTTTTCCAAGGGCACATGCACCTTAACCCCAGGCTGGACTCGAACCCATGAAAATAAATATATTGCTCCAGACTGCGAGGCCACGGCACTGTCAAAGCAGGGCCCAATTTCATGGCTATGCTTATCTCTAGTCAAAAATACTGTAGCAGGAAATTCATCACTTACTGTTAGTACTGACAGTTTAGCTTATGCGCATGCGTACATACATTGTATGGTAACTAAGGATTCTGTACTTACAAGGTTAGTAAAAATTTCCCTGCTAGCACTGTTAGTTTCTTGTTGACAAAAGCTGCTCATGGTATTAGGAAAGTGTTATGTTTGATGTCTTCATGTCTTCATTATGGTGCTAGGAAATAAAAGAAAAAAAACAAACCTCTGCAAATTTGGGTGTGGCAGCCAGGCAGCCCCTTAGGCCTCCCACCAGTAGCTCCGTGGTGATTCCGTGGGGGTCATTGGTTGGAGGCTTGAAGTCAATGGGAAAGTAGCAAGAGGTCACCTCAAACAACTCCTCAGCAAAAATATCTGGTAATAAATCAATTCAAAAGATAGTTCATTAACCCTAACTCTCTAGGCCTTTTTGCAAGGATGTAACCTCAATCCTGCCAAATCCTCCAATAGGCCCCATGGATAAATAGCATGTAGCCTTAATCCTCCAAATTCCTCCATTTTTCTTGAATATGGTCCGTTGAGAGGTGACTTCTGCCAAAATCCTGCGGCAGTGACTGTCAATATATTGAGGCTTGGTCAGTGACATCCTGGAGCAGTACCGAGGATTTCAAGCATAATCCAGGCCTATATTTATGCATGGCTGAGCAAAAACAACACAAGGTACGGCCCAAGACCTTGACAAAGTGCATCCTACGTAATCAGTAACAGACTTTTGCCGTGTAACCTCAATCCTCCAAATTCCTCCACTTTGGCAAAGAGGTTTGAAGGATTCAGGGTGGAAAAAGTTTAAATCTCGTGCTTGTGGCACAAGGTTATAAACTTCCATTACAGTGTGCATTACAGAAACACACAGTATTGATGCTTGTGTTACTTATTCTAGTGGAACGATTAAATTATCTCCATTGTGAAATATGCACACATTACCATGAGAACATTGGCCTTCATGACCTTTGATGTACAGGTCAACTTAATTTCAATATCCACGCACGTACCGCTAGGGCGGTGCATTTCATGTAAGCATGTCGCATGATTCTATCACACTTCACAGGCTATCACTCTTCAAGTAAAGGCAGAAATACATGGCGCGAAGGCAATGCTTGTCTAGTCTGGTCTCAGACCAAAAGATTCTGACTATTCTGACAAACATTAGGCCAGGTAGCCTTTATATTAAAAAAAGAAAATTACGCAGCAAAGCTCAGCCCTTGTACGAGTCCAAACTTGAGGAACAACATCTAAATTGGACATTTAATACAGATACTGGGTAATCTGGCACTGAAATGTTTTAAGGGAGCACGGCGAATACCCCGACGCAGGAAAGCCTTTGAAATGCCGAGCTTTGCCGCGGCCCCTCGGCCACCTAATCCTTCCCTTGTGTGTCTAAATCATTCAACAAAATGAAATGTTTAAACTCAAATACATTTACAAAATTGATAACAAGCATGACAGGTATTTTGTTGGTAAATAAAAACTGTTTTACGCCCAGAAATACGCGGGCTGTTACAAATATATCTGAGTGTCAACAAATTGTATTTGGTAAACTTTGGAAATTTTGCGGAAACGGGCAGATACCTGCCCGGTTTATTTTTGGTCATTTTTTTTCCCCACTTGGCGGCTACCTGACCTGATAAAGATTTGTCAGGATAGTCAGCCTCTTTTTGGACGGGGAACCAGACAACTTTTGTCCTCATAGAAATGTGTGTTATGAGGTCAGGTCTCCAGTCCAATGGAGATGATGTGCTGAAACTTATGCTTGGTAAATTTTTGTGCAAAGCAAAACAGCAGCTGGGGGAACCACTCACAAGCAATTTGTCACCGTTTTCACGAACAGCCACACAAGTTGAAAATAACCTGTTTTAGATTTCAATTTTTGCTTTAAAACATCGTAGTTATTTTGACATGCTTCTGTAAGCAAAACATCATTTATTTCTTAATTGCATTAATGATGCAAGGGCCAGACATCTCCATTAGTGCATTTTGCATTTTCACGAAGAGAAATGAAAATCTCACTTGACCTACTTTTACGCCTTTCCGTCCAATACGTTATGTACGTGTTCAAGTGGCACCAAGCCCCTTGAACAAGTACAAAACGTTTTGGACGGAAAGGCGTAAAAGTAGGTCAAGTAACATTTTTGTTTTCACAAAGAACCACACATATTTATTACATTATCAATTGTGCGTGCGTAACACGCGCTTGCCTTCCCTATGGAAAAACACATTGAACAGAAAGGGCCTAAATGTAGGAAACGTGGATTTTCATTTTCACAAAGGGACACACATCTTTACTAAATAACTTTGGTTAATTAACCACTGTGCTGATTCTAATTATTTGGTTTACATAAAAGTTTACCTTTCGAAGAATCATGTGACTGTTTTCTTACTGCATAAAGGTGTTGCAAAGTAGTAGTTTTTGCAGTTTTAAAATATGAAGAACTTCCCTTGCGATTACCCCAAAAACGTTTTTCTGAAAACGGTGACGAATTGCATACTTTGCGTGAAATTTTGAATGGTTACCTATTTTTGCTAAAGCAATTATTTACACTTAGCCACTCCATGAAATCAGCCGCATTTATGACTTACCAATTGGAAAATGGTCGATCAATGTCCTGACAATCTGGAAGGCCATGACCAGGTTTCGTGGATCCTTCTCTCCGTCCATGACCTGGATGAACCCGTAGACGAACTCTGACCCTAACTCACGCAGCTCTGCAAGGGGGGGGGGGGGGCATGGAGGAAAAGTTAACGGTGTCACGCTAGAAAATGTCAAATGGCTAAGCAATGTGTGTGTTTTGGCTTTATCAATTAGTCACTGACTTATTATCCAATCAATTTAAAAAGAGCCTGGACTCCTCACTTGTTCACTATATAAGGTCTTTACTTTAAACAAGCTAATTTTTTATTAGCGGTTATTAATGTTTTTAAAATGTTGCTTTTCCCCTTTTAAGAATTAAATTGACAACTTCCCAAATGGTATTTACTTTCTATATGCTCCCTCCCACTCACTGTTGGAAATACTTTTAAGGGAAAAACAAAGCTGGGCCTCCTTTTGAGAAAAATTCCCAGTATGGTTTCCCTCCCTTGCCAAAACTAAAACCTGGACACCCAACTGTTCCCGCCTCTTGCCAAGAGCAAAGCAAAAGTTCGGGCAAGGACTATGGTTAACCATAGTTTGACAAACTTCACTGGAATGCAGGATGGTTGGTCTACTCTAGACGACTATTTGGAACCGGACCACAGGGCACGGTTGCACTTGCAAAGCTGGTTACCAGTAGCCACACGCATCATAATGTACAGCAGGACGTCAGAACCCAGAAGTTTTGTGATGAGGTCTTCACCAACGTTTGACTAGAGACGTTTGCACCAGCTGTTAGTGTGCAGGCTAAAGTTAAGTCACGAATCATTCACTAGTTGACTAATGGTCCTGGCCCAATCTTGTTAAAAGTGAGTTCTCACCATCGAGTTTTGAGTACAGGAAGTTGCTGATGATGGAGAAGACCGACTGCCTGTCTGCCTGCACCAGGCTCTGCACACGGACCTCCTTGAACAGATTGAGGCATATCTTGGCTGCATCCCCCGTAGGTAAGGAACTGCAGATGCTCTGCAGAGGGGAAGGCAACAGAAAAACCAAACTTTAAAGGCACATAGAAATATTGGTAATTATCACGAAACGAAGCTTTAGTTTAAATTACACAGACCTCGTGCAAATTTAAGAAAGTACCGGTACTGGTATCAAATACCCTATAAAATGATTCTGCCTGAACGACAGAAGGAAACCAAAAATCTTTGACCACAGATACACTTTTAAAATTTGACAATTGTTTTAAAATTTGATGTATGTGCACTATTAATGAGAATCCTGGCGCAGGTGCTGATTTTAATAGGGATTGTAACAAGAGAGGGTGTAGTTCAAAATAAGAAACAGGAATTTTTTAATTGGGAGTGCAAAGAATAGAGTTCATTTACAAGGCAACTTTTCTTGAAACGTATAGTGTTCGCTGACCCGAAGCTTCAACAAGCTGACCCTTGAACCGGCCAGCCGACCCTGGCAACTTCAGTGGTCGAGTGGCAAGATGTCTACCCTACCTAGTCTACACTAGTAAGCAGGAGGTGGTGGATTTGAGTGCCACCCGAGTATAATTAAAAGCTTGTTAAAATTTTCTCGCTAGCCCTCGCCCAACACTAGGTATAAACTGTTTATAAAATACGTCAACGTCAAAACCCAAGATACTATTTAACAGGTTTAGTCCTTATGCACCCTGTATCAAATATTAGCAATTGCTTCCAACACCTAACAAATTAGAAAAAAAAACTTGTATGGGTCAAATATCTTTAACGATTGTGAGTCTTTATTATGGCCTGTCTCAATTTATATCAAGGACAAGTTCTGGATAATACTGATAACTTCGTTGTAGGAAGACTCCAGGGAAGTTGTTCAGATTCCTGCAACTTATACTTGATACAATGTCTGCAACTTGTCCGGAACTCGTTGCGGATATGAATTGAGATGGGCCCTTAGATCTGGGCCCAATTTCATGGCGCTGCTAAGCACAAAAATTTGCTTAGCACAAAAAAAGTCTTGCTTATAAAAGAAGGTTACCAGCCAAAACTCCAAGTGATTTTCATGCTAAGCAAACTACAGCTTAATACTAATCACGAGCAATATACATCACATGGAGTTTTGGCTGGTAACCTGCTTTTATAAGCCAGACTTTTTTGGTGCTAAGCAAATTTTTGTGCTTAGCAGCGCCGTGAAATTGGCCCCAGACTGTTGTGATGACAGAAAGCTTACCAATGATTGCATGCCATAAATAGTGTGGGTTGTGATGGAATGGTGGTCTTTCAATCTGTCACAGAAGAATGCCGTTAGTAATCCAGCTACAAAACAAAATGAATTGGGCAAGAAAAATAGGATCAGAGGATTTAAGCAGTTTTATGTTCTGAAAAAAAATCATTGATTTTGGAATGAAGTTTAATTCAATTTGAAATTTCAGTAGGCATTTTTACTACAACTTGAGCTTGATTAAAGTCTTGGTTTAAATTTCGGAACAAAAGGGTTTGGAATGGTCATGCGTACTTACAACTATTTAAGCTCATGAATATGCATGAGGTGTAATATTAAGACAACTTATACACTTACCCTCCTCCGCTGACAGCTTGTTCCTTGGCAATCTATGGAGAATCTCCGCTAACAGTAGAGTACCTCTCCCGCGGATGTTATTTTCTTTGCTGGTGAGGTACGGTCTAACCACCCAAGAAAATCCAACAACAAAGATTTGAAAACAACCTGTTAATCATACTTCAGTAAAGTCTGTCATGAGCCAACGTGGCCCATCAGGCCTGCATTTATCTCCAGTTTCCTTGGCATGAAACGACTGAGGATTGTTTTATTCCCCCTGGATGGGATGCCAGTCCATCGCAGGTTACTCCCCAGCTAATGCCAGTACCCATTTAAACACCTGGGTGGAGAGAGGCCAGTGGAGGGGAAGTGGCTTGCCCAAGGACACAACATATGGCCAGAAGCTGGATTTGAACCCCCTGATCCTCTGATCATGAGTCATGAACACTAACCACTAGGCCATACTCCCCATGTTAATCATGCTAATGGGCTTGAACTAAATCTATTGTTCCTTTTCAAACTCATTAACTTGCTTTTTCCAGTAATTCCTTCATTTCTTGTATTTACTATGAATTATTCCAAAATGTGCAACTACTATGCCAAACACTTGAAACTTTTCCAACAAAGATGGGAGACTTCAAAACACACTGAACAAATAAACATAATTGAAACTTGAACTTACCCAAGCATTTCCACAAGTTTCACCAGTGTGACATCTCCATTGCTTACCCCTTGGAAAGGAAAACAAAAAAGGCACAATCAATTTCCTATGTCTTTGAAGGCATAATTTTTTATCACTTTTCAATGATGGTCGGCTGCCATGTAAATATGTAAATTCTAAAGTGTCGTTTTATCAGAAATTTGATTTTTAGCCAATATCTCGGCCAATATTGCAGCTAATGTTGACAGAAGGGTTTTTGATAAGCAATAATGATCAAAGTTTATTTTAGGGCAGCCTTCAAAATTGATTATGCGAACTGTTCGCGAACTTCGCGAATATTTCCAGAGCTAGCCAGTTTGCGAACTTCGCGGAGCTACTCATCCATCCGTGGTCAAGTTAAGGCGAGGCGTCATAAATAAATTAACCGTTCGAACGCGTGCGCACGCTTGGAACGGGGCCTTTTGTTACATCTACCTCCCGTTCGCACGCGTGCTCACGGCATCCCGTTCCGAACGCGTTCTTATACAACAAAAGGCCAGTCACGGTCTGTGCACACACGAAGAGCTCATCGGCACTTAAAGTATCCGACAAACTTTCTCGTCGCTACAGGCTAGCCCGTACAGTACAGGGGGGACGTATAAAAATACGGGCACCTTGAACGGGGAAAGCAGTCCTTTGCAAACTTTACAATCAGTATGTAAAAACCTTGAATATTCGATTTATAATGCGCTGATCGTGTGTACAAGGCCAGTTTATAACATCAGTCAGCAAACTTCTTACAATGTTTAAACTTGTTTTTGTGAACATTATATGCAGTACCGTACCTGCTAATTTACATTTCCGTGCTTGTACCCACAAAAAAAAAGAATACTCGCACTTCGTTTTACATAAAATAAGTGTTAAAAGTCTCAATTATTTTTTGGGTTGGATACGATCTAGTGTAGTATGTCTGGTTTTCTCAATTTTTATTTTAAAACGACTTTATCTTCTTCGTCTGTTTTCATTTCTGAACTGCAAACGCGTTTTTCAGTAGATTCCGTGGTAAAATTTAACGAATTACGCCCAGGTTTCTGGCTTTTAAATTGCCCAGGAATATCTTGAAAGGTCAGGCATGGTTGTCTCTTGTTGAAGTCTCAGTAATTCCTGCCACCAACTGATCATCGTCGTGCAACATGGCAAGGTGCGAGGTTCATGCGCAGCACCGTCCTCCCGCATGCGAACGGGCCCCCTGCTGTACGTCGTGTAACCCGTCTCATGCCTCTTGCATTTACATGCTATGTAGTATGCAATGCTAGCCCGGGGGCTGACTGTTTATAAAACGTGGGAATTGCGTGCTCAGGGGGAAGTCCCAAGTCGTGCAAAACGGCTGTTTCATGTATCATTTTCTTGAAATGTTTCGCTGCGTGGCCTTTGTACGTCAAAAAAAATTAAAATAATATCAAACAAAACTGAAATCTAATACTAATAAGTAATAGACCCTCACAATTATTTAACTGCACTGTGTATAGGCCTACATATACATGTACATGTACATGATTGTGTTCGCCGGCGTGCTGACAGGCCGCCATGCATATACACGGGCATGTACAATGTACATTGTACTCGCAATCGCGCATGGCCATGCAGTAGTGTAGCATGGTCAGTACAAAATGGCATGGTTCCCACCGGCCGTACCGCCGTATAATGATAATGACAGAAGGTGCATGCATGGTACGTCGGAACTTCGGCAGCATCAACATGTCACCAACAGCATTGAAAACAATCAGAACTTTTTTTCCAGAAAGACATTTTCCGAAGTCGCGAATATATATTGAGAATTAAATGCTTGTGTTTGTAGCGGACCAACCTCGACAGAGCACGCAGGGGGCTTGGTGGACCATGGGTGGACTATGAGTGGAAAGTACTGTGCATTTTACGCACGCCGACCACATTGTTATTCGAATCACGCTGGTGTTTCACTTTGCACGTGATTGTGCTGGCTTTCAAAGTTTCCATCATTTCCAGTGAGTATCATGGTATAATGCGTCTCAAATAAATGTCTGAAATGAAAGCATGTATATGTAATTCTTATAGCGGGCAATTTTGGTGGCTATGCGGCACATTTATAACACTGAACAATATACCCGACCACTAAGACATGAATTGACCTATCAACAGAGCCACGCGTTGGCAATAACTGGGAACAAAGACTGCATCTCGTCTGCTTGGTAACAGGGGGGTCAGGGCCATCAAGAAATAAACTAAGAGTGGAGTACAAAGGACAGTCTGTCGTGGGTTTCTTGCATATTGAAACATTGAATATTCGACCTTAAATTAACATCTATCATCTACCATCTACCTGTAAATTGTTAACGTAAACGAGGAATGCACATGCCAGCTCTCTTTTTTGGCAACTTAAAAAAGCAAAACATTGGGTTTAATAAAGACAGCGCGTGCTCATGTTACCATGTACAACGCGAAGAAGTAAAGATCTGCTTCTGTTTCAGTAGTTAAGTGCTATGCCAGGCGCGGATCGAGAGGGTGAACCCCCCCCCCAACTGTTCTGACCGTCACAATAATAATTTTAAAAAATAACAATTATAGTAATAGTAAAATAGACGACTTTTTGGCATATTTAATATTCATTCACAATATCTTCATATTCATACTCGAAGTAGTGAACTCATACTTAAAAAAAGAACTCACTCGGGAACTATTATTTGCAGGCGTACATGAATGTTCACGCAACAAATGTACATGTACATACAAACATGCAAAGGTGTTAATCTTCTTTTCCCTGCCAGGGTACATGTATTCTCCAGGGTAACAAGTGATGCGTGCTAGCAATTAGCCAGATTCAAAAGAAACCCAAACCCCCCCTACTCGCGGAATCATCACACAACCTTCACAATGACATTTAGAGCTATGCATTGTCGCGGTAACGCCTTGTGATTTGGTTCGCGCTTGTGCCAAACAAAAGAGGTAAACTACGAACCAATCAACATGAGCGTCGTTACCTGTGGTTTACTATGTGGCGGGATTTCAAAGTCTTCTATACAGAAGCAAAGCGTCATTTCCTTGGCGTCCTCTGAAAACCTGTCCCTGTCTTTATTTGAAAGAAAACTTTCTCGAGTCCAGACGCTTTCTACATTCCTGCAAAGATGTCGACCAACAAAATTACTATCAAGTGGGTTAATGCAAAATGGGATGGCCTTGTCGAAGACGTTGTTCGGAGCAGGGTGAAATCCCGCGATCCCCTAGAAATCGGCATGGAGGTGCAAGTGACCTACAGATCTAGCAGTCACAGGGCAGTAATTGTTGGGATCGGCGATGATGTTAAGAGCATAGACAAAATAATAAAATACTTCAGAAAGAGATAAAAGGGCGTCCTTTGCTAACAAACGAAATATCAGTCTTGGGTTCATAAAATGTGTACAAATAAAGCTTATCATTAAAGGGAATATACATCATTTGCTTTTGCTGTGATTTTCAGAAATGGATGGAATTGGGGGGTTGGAAATATAAAGCAAATATAGTTGCACTGACTTTTTGGAGGTTTTGGGTTCGAAAATGCTATAAAAACCAAGAAAAACGATCATTTTCCTGTAGTCTGGTTCCCTGACTCCATATAAGAAGAAACAGAGCAGTTTACATACATTGGGGAATTGTAAGGTCAGGGAACCAGTCTAGCTGGCTCGTACCCGTTCATAGGTTTGTAATCGATTGCAAACAAGTGCAATGGTCAATTGGGGCCAGTATTTGTAAAAAAAGCCAGTTGTTTCCAACGCTGATCGGCCGATCAGCGTTGGAAATTGATACAAAAATACCACTTTTCTTGAAAATGACAGTATACCAGGTGCCATAATTTTACAGGATGCTTCAGGCTGTCATTTACCAACATCATATTAAGGTATTTCGCAAAAACTTGGTAGTTTTTTTTTTTAATGTTTGCAAATGTTGTATATTCCCTTTAAAACCACTTGTCATTAACAATTGATTGTATATTTTTTTTACTTCCCCCTTACAATAATTTTTGTATGCTTATTTTGAGTATTTATCTTGAGAGCTGTAAACAATTAATGGAATAAAGTTCTAGAAACAGATTTCAATCGCGTCCATTAAAAAAAAAAGATATGAGGTATTTTAATTTATAAACAAAATTGGTATTTAGACTGACAGACAGTCGCATTGTGATAACCATCTTCAGACTGGCTTCTGAGGCAGGATTTGCCACACAGTGCTCCAGTAACTGCAGACACACAGCCACTGGCAGTCTGGGTAACAGACCAAGGGTCACTCGCGCACACAAGTCTTTGTCTCGGAGGCACAGGAGCGCTCTCCAGGAATCAGACATCAGTAGCTCATCTGTATTACCAGGAAGATCAGCCTGAGCTGCACAGCAGAGCACAAAGTCCTGTATGACGGACAGGTTCGGCAGCCAATCGCCCAAGGCTGTAAACAATTAATGGAATAAAGTTCTAGAAACAGATTTCAATCGCGTCCATTAAAAAAAAAAGATATGAGGTATTTTAATTTATAAACAAAATTGGTATTTAGACTGACAGACAGTCGCATTGTGATAACCATCGAAATTCCATTTGTGCACAAAATATACAATAAGATTGCGGAAACCCAATTGTTATTTTACCCCGCCCAACTGCATTATTATACAAATAACGAATGTTTGTGAGTGCGATGGTAAGAATAATTTCATGACATGTGATCAACGATCCACCAATCAGATGACGGGGATTTATTCAGGCGTTGTATAATATTTTTTATTACGTATCCAGCTAGCTCACCTTAAATAATAACTCTTCCCAACTTAGCAGTTCTTTGTTGGAACGTGGACCACATCTATAGGGTTTTTACTTTCGCCCCGCCCGACAGCGTCATTTTGTTCCCCCACTAGGCCCAAAAGCATGGAGGATGTTCCAAGAATCCAGTCCACCATAAAATATTAACTCTTTCCATCTCAGCACACAGGGTTTTATTTTTTGCCCCGCCAGAAATCCGAGCTTGATCCCATTATATAAACCTGAATAAATTGTTATTGTTAAACAGGGTTGAATACAGGCCATTGTAATTCCCCAGCATCGAAAAGGCACAGCGTCGGC